CAAGGACTGGGGTTCTGACCCTCATGTATTTGATATATTTTTCCAAGTCTTAGTTGAAGGTGGGATGCTTTTAGAAGCCAGACAACTTTTTGATAAATTGTTAAATTATGGTCTTCTGGTCTCTGTAGATTCTTGTAATTTGTTTCTAGCTAGGCTGTCAAACAATTTTGATGGAATAAGGATGGCATTAAAGGTATTTAACGACTATCCAGGAGTAGGTGTTCCTTGGAACACCACATCATATAATGTCATTCTTCATTGTCTGTGTCAGTTGGGTATGATCAAAGAAGCGCACCTTTTACTCATACAAATGGAATTTAAGGCCATATGCCTGATATTGTAAGTTATAGCACTATAATTAGTGGATATTGTCAAATTGGACAGCTAGAGAAGGTTGTAAAGCTTGTAGAAGAGTTGCAGAGAAAGGGAATCAAACCAAATGAATACACTTACAATGATGTAATTCTTCTTCTTCGTAAGACTGGTAAAGTAGGTTGAACCTGATAAAATCTTGTGGGAAATGAGAAACCAGGGGATATATCCTGATCATGTGATCTACACAACCATCATAAGTGGTTTCTGCAAGTCTGGGAATATTTCAGCTGCATACAAGTTCTTTAATGAAATGCAAGGTAAGAAAATAATACCTGATTTTGTGACATATACTGCTATGATTCATGGATTTTGTCAAAATGGGAAAATGGCGGAAGCTCAAGATTTTTTCAGTCAAATGCTTAGTAAAGGGTTGGAAGTAGATGAGGTTACTTATACAGAACTCATTGATGGATATTGCAAGGCAGGGGAAATAAAAGAAGCCTTTTCTTTACACAACCAGATGGTTCAGAAAGGGTTGACTCCAAATATTTTCACTTATACTGCACTGGTTGATGGACTTTGTAAACGTGGAGAGGTAGATGTAGCAAATGAACTTCTTCATGAGATATCTGCAAAGGGCCTACAACCAAATGTTTGCACTTACAATGCTTTCATCAATGGCCTTTGTAAGATAGGAAATATAGAACAAGCGTTAAAATTGATGGAAGAAATGGAACTTGCTGAAATTTATCCCGATACTGTTACATACACGACTCTTATGGATGCTTACTGTAAGATTGGGGAAATGGCCAAGGCTCACAAGCTGCTTCGCAAGATGCTCGATAAAGGACTTCAGCCTACAGTTGTTACATTCAATGTGCTAATGAATGGGTTTTGCCTGTCAGGAATGCTGGAAGATGGTGAAAGACTAATTCAATGGATGTTAGATAAGGGTATAACACCAAATGCTACCACATTCAATTCTCTTATGAAGCAGTACTGCATTAGAAATGACATGCGCGCTGCCACGAATGTTTTCAGGAGTATGCATGCCGAGGAGTGGCAGGCAGCCGATGGTAACACATATAATATCTTGGTAAGAGGGCATTGTAAAGCTAGGAATATGAAAGAGGCATGGTTTTTGCATAGAGGAATGATTGAAAAGGGATTTGATCTCACAGCCTCTTCCTATAATGCCATTATAAAAGGGTTCTTCAAGAGGAAGAAAATTTGTGGAGGCGAGGCAATTTTTGATGAGATGAGAGCAAAAGGATTGGTAGCAGAGAAAGAGATATATGATATATTTTATTGATGTAAATTATGAAGAAGGGAATTTAGAAATTACCCTTGAGCTTTGTGATGAAGCAATGGAAAACTGTCTTGTTGGTAAGCTCCAGCAAGAGCGCACATAGGTGAATTTTGTCTTCGGTTCTCTTGCTTGGTGGCTGATCTGAAATTAATTTGAACCTCAGAACATCTATGATTCAAATCACAAGAGAAGCATGTTTGACTCTCATTTTTATCGGAGAAACAGGTAGATTTCTCACAAGCATATTGATAAATACAGGGAAAAAGTCTGTGTTGGACTGGACACTTTCCTGGGACAGAGAATGACCTCCGTGAAAGAAACAATTACAATTAATAAAACATCAAATTGAAGTTTCTCTTTAAGCTTTTGATTTTTCTGATGGGGTAGTTTCGCCATCATTTGAAGCCTGTTGAAGGTGATGTAATATGAGAGAGAATTCATGAATGATATAGGTTTTTTTTTTTTTTATTTGTCCTTTGCTGTACTCTTATCAGTTGATGTAAATAACTCCTGATTCCCGATTGGCTGTCGAAATTTTACTGAGGAGAATATAAATGAAGGTCCAAACTTGAAAGCCCATTCTGGGTTCGAACATACATCCCATTGCGGCACAGGGGCCGCTGGCTCTCATTCCCCCCCCCCCCCCGCCCCCCCAAAAGAAAAAAAAAAAAAAGAAAAAAGAAAATCTTTCTCCAAATGCATTATTAGGCTATTGCAATTATTTTTATTTCTTTGAAAATTATTTACAATATTTTAATACGCCTTAAATATGAGAAAAGTGACTATAATAAAACTTTCTCCCCCTGAATGACGAGGAAATGGTAATACCAAATAGCGAAACATGACGAACAAATATATAGCAATAGTAAAAACAACAGAGTCCATAGCCTTGTAACTGGGGAAGACAATATAAGCCCTAACAACCAACGTCTAAAAGTCTCTTGCTTTACCTGGCAAACTCATGAATTAGATCACTTTAAATATATAAGTAGACAGATATAAGCATATCCTTACCTTACTCATGCTTATAATATATCAACTTATAAGCTACTTGGATTTATTGATTTTTGTTGACATCATAATAACACTAATAAATTTAAGAATCTATCATTTGCAGCCGTGAGATCTAAACCCAATCCTTTCACCATCAACATCGTACACTACCTCCAGTGTTTTCTGCTGTGTATTGCCAATAATAACCACATCATCACCTTCATCGCCATCAACTTTATTCGCAGCAAACCCTAAACACGCCTGTTCTTTGCTCACAACATACAGAATCCCCGATGCGTCCAACGTCACGTTCACCCCACCTCCAAACGTCAATGAAACCTTCGGCAAGTGAACAACTTCGTACCCACGCAGATTGTAGCACGTGTCCAGTACTTCAACCGGATCCGCCTTCGGGTACCTCCACATCTGTCTCTGAAACTCGTCTCTCAGGGAACTGTACGCCGCCGGAGGGAGCCAGGTGACTTCACTACCAGAGTCAATAACCGTGCCGGAGGAGGCAGAGATCGGGATATTGACGCCACCGAGAGATATTCCGACGAAGTCAAGGCCGTAGAAGGAGGAGTTCTTGAAGATGGAGGAGAACGGAGTGTATTTGACGTCGCCGTAGGAGTACCTATGACTGGGGCCAAAGTTGAGGTAGCCGACGGCACTTGGAGTCGACGGAAGACAATAGGAAAAGATTCTGTGGTACTTATGCGCGGTTTGTTGGACGAAGGAGAGCGGATCGCGACCGAGACCGAGCAACCCAGCGGTGCCGCCGAAGAGACCTGTGTTGTTCTGGCCGCAGCCAAAAAGGAAGTCGTCGAAGACATCGGTCGGAGATATGGTTAGTTTTTCCTTAGCGAAGAAGCCAATGGAGGTGGATTCGTCAGCATAGATAAGACCGTACATGCAAGCCCTTGTTGTTGTATTACATAATGGAAAAAATCCTGGAGATCATATGCATATATAAGAGAATGTATTCAATGAATAAAAGAGAAGGAAGCTATGTTCATAAACTTAGCTTGAAAGATAATGTGAGAGTGTGTGTGTGTACCAGTGGCAGAGAGAAGCTGGGAGCACTGAGAAGATGAGCAAGAGACATCGGAGTAAGAAGAAGAGTGAGAAGGGTCAAAGACTGGTTGTTTCTGGGAATAGCAAGAACCAAGACAGGGCTCACACTGAGTCCAAGTTAGGTCACTGCCTGTGTCGAAGTCCAGAGACAGATCTCTCTTGGGGCTTCCCAGCCCCACCGTGACAAAGTAGTTCCCGGTCCCGAGAAGGACGCCGGACTTGGCCGGAAGCTGAACCCGGTCCAACCTGCGATTTGAACTAACATCTACTTTTGCTACTTCATTATAGTTGTGTCTCCTGTAAAGCTTAGAGTGGATTGACCTAGCCCTCGCTTGGTCTCGCATCAGGATTTCTCTGTGCGGTATAATAAATGAAGATGATGATGTTTGTTGCTTCGGTTCTGAACATGGGCCGTGCTTGTGTACTACTTCCAAATATCCCTTCCTGCTTGCACCTGTTCATCGTATTATACACATACACATATCACTTGAATGTACTCATGTAGTAGTCACGTGGATTATTCTATCAGCTCAATGTCAGTCCAGTTCAAATAGTAGGAAAAAAATACGCTACAAAGAAGAGATTCTATACAAGGAAAACAAATTTGAGACTACTCCTTCATTAGTTGGCTTTGGACAGCACCGACGTGAGAGTTACGATATGTAAATGACATTTTCTGTGCTAGCATATATAGAAGTTGTATTTGGATCGATCTAATTAGTTTTTGGAATCTAACTGTCAATCTAGTTAATTAGAACTCTAACCATGCATTGACATTCTACTTTGTTATAATCATTTGATTAAATATTAACTATCTTAATTGAACAAAAAGTAATGTTATTTATGGTTCAAAGAGAGTTGGTGCTGAGCGTCACAATGCTGTAGAACAATTTTTTTAATAACAGAGAGTGAGAGATGAAAGAGAAAGAACCTTTAGGAGGAGAGGTGCAAGATGAAGAAGGGAAGAAAGAGGTGAGATGAACATGATGTTGAGTTTGTTGAAGAAGCTCACTGGCTTCTTTCCTCGTTATTGCAGAAACAAAGGGTTCGTTCTCTATCAAGAAGAAGAAGAAGCAAACAACAGAAATAAAAGCAAACAGGAAGGGATTAGAAGAAGAAGAAGCCATAGAAACAAGAAGGGTAGTTTCTCTTTCTGTATGCTTCAAGCTGAGAAAGGGATATCGTTGGCCTTTATAGGCTAAATTTCATGACTGGTCATGATATTAACAGGATATTCTAATTAAAACAACTATTAACACCCATTATTTATATATAACAGACAAACTAATTCACTCCATTTAGCTGGCCTGTTGGTTACGTTGTACTTGGCTTCACTAATTACACAGTTTTGGTGCTATATTACCAAGTCTTCCAATAGAAAACAGCCAAACAGGCCAGCAAAAGGTCAAATGAAACAATCCTTTTCTGAAACGTTACAATCTAAGATCTGCGAACTCCCCTATGATTTCTTCTATCTGATGCATTTGATAAATATGTCTTATTTGCGATCAACGGCCTTCAAGTTTATTTTTCTTTTTCCTTTTTTTTTTGTGGAAAAAAAAAGAACTTCAAGATTATTGTTGATCGCCTGCAGGTCTTTCCTTGGTTTGGGATTAGATTAAATTTATTTGTCACTTCATTTTACCCAAAAACATTGAAGTACATGTGTGAACATGTTAAATCTAATGATGAAGCCATGAAAAATTTAGAAAATATATAACTTGATAAGGATGAGAAGAGTCAAGTATAATGAAAGAAATATATGTTTCGATATTCATTATATTTTTGCAATTATTAGAATTAGAAATAAAAATGTAAAAATCAATTTAGCGTTAAAGTTATTTGTAATTTTAGAGTTAGATATGAAATTGTTCGTTCGATTTCAGTCTTGAACGTATATGGAATATTCAAATGGATGAAAAATTCATCACCTCCTGCATCACCCTGAAGAACCTCCAGAATTTTGACATTAAAACGCAACTCAACTTAATTGCAGTTTAAAAAATTTAAAAGGCTTGGAAAGCTATGGACTTTTCGTTTTTTCTCAAGAAGAGTGTGTGTGTCTAATTAATCGATGTAAATCTGATGTATGCATCTAAAAAATGGAAAAAGACAAAAAACTTGCTGTAAAACTTTGATGGATGGATTTAGAATAGTGAAAAAAAAAATAATGAGCGATCCAGTGATTTTGACTTAATTATGAGAGGATGTTGGGGAAAAAAAATACACCAAACGTTGTAACAGACGTTATTAGAAATCCTTGGTGGGTGACTAACAGTGAGACATCAGTCCAGCTTTGGACCATGATACCTATCACTATGATGAAATTTGAACTGTTTAAATTCAATTTGGACAATCTAAATATAAAATTTTTAACTTACAAATTTTAAATAATAAATTCATCTTTAATAAAATGACAGTTAAGAAATTATCTTAGCTTGATCCCAAATATCTGGTTGAACGGACTTTATTATTATTATATATCGATATTTTAACTTAACCTTTGGCTAATCAAGACTTGAGAGTTGAGACAAAAAATACTACATACTACCATATACTCCCGTTCTGTCCCATATGAAATATTCTTAAAAAAATTCGACGTCATAAAATATAGGATATTTTGATAAAAATCAACTTTTATTAATGATATTGTTCTCTACAAACAACAAAAAATATCAAGAGTGTCAGAGACGCTGAGTTTCAAAAGATAATAAGAATTTTTGAGCTCTTACTATAGTTTATTTAAATGTGAAGATGCAAAGAGACTAAAATAAATGAGCATTTGATTGATAAATGTTCAAAGTACAGAATTGTAAAGATTACAAAACTAAAAATGATTCTAAAAACTATTTAAAAATATAGAATAAAAATGGTGGAAGTATTAATGGATGTTGATGATTGATTGTTTATGTCCTATTTTCTGCAAACTTCTGCTGCTTTTATAATTATTTAGTTGAGATCGTACACCCACAGAATCTAGAGCCCATTCATGAAATATCACTAGCATGGCCCGCGAGATTCATGGCATGATACACTATATCCTTTCAATGATCTCATACATTTAATCGTCTCGAGTCTTAAAGACTACGTTAGGCTTGCGCTGTGTACTCTTCTTTTTTGGCAATGGATCAAGTTATGCTTCTTGGATTAGTCATGTTTTTAACCTCAATTCTCCTCATTGGGTTGTCATTTTAACTTTAGACCCAAAAATATATACTTTTGCAACATAAACATTTGCATATATTCTCTTTCTTTTATATTCTTTCACAAATAAATAATTAATTGAAGAACTTTCTTGAAAGTTTATATTTTTATTTTGAAAAAATAATGTTATAAATTGTATTTAATAACTTGTATTGATACATGTGATTTTATCTAAAAGTTTTTTTATAAATTGGAACTGAAGTAGCATCATTTTAACTTGAGACGCAGACAAGCAGTGAAGGCTCGTGCTGAGTATTACTGTTATTAAAATCAAACACCATGCATTTAAATGAAAAAGATATATCACAGAGAGAAATGGAAGACAGAAATAACCTTGCGGAGGAGAGCTGCATGCGGAAGAAGGAAAGAGAGAGCTAAGTGGAGTTCTTGAAGATGGACGAGAATAGAGTGTATTTGACGTCGGGGTGGGAGTATCCGGGGCCGAACTCAAGGTAGCAGGCGTAAATGGGGATGGAGGGGAGCCAGTAGGAAAAGATTCTCCGGTACTTTTGGGAGGTTTGTTGCCGGCGGTGCCTCTGAAGTGACCTTGGTTGTTCTGGCAGCAGCCCAAGAGGAAGTCGTCGATGATGTCGTCGGGAGATATGGTCAGTCTTTTCCTTGCTAAGAAGCCCGTAGGGAAAGATTCGCTGCCATATATCAGAGTGTATATGCAAGCTCTCGTTGATGCATTATTACATGGAGAAAGATGCGCAGATATGTATAAGAGAACGTACTAAATGAATCATGAGCTTGAAAGCTAGTATACATATAAGTATATACCTGTAGAAGAGGAAAGCTGGGAACACTGTGAAGAAGAGCAAGAGATGTTGGAGTAAGAAGAAGAGCGAGAAGGGTCGAAGATGGGTTGGTCCAGTTGATAGCAAGAACCAGCACAGGGCTCACATTGAGTCCAAGTGAGTTAACCGCCTATGTCAAATTGGAGGGACAGATCTCTCTTGGGGATTCCCAGCGCCACTGTGACGAAGTAGTTCCCTCTCTACGTCTTGCTTAAGGATTTCACAGTGCGGCATAGTGAACGAAGATGATGACGACGACGATGGGTGTTGCTTCGGTTTTGAACATGGCCCGTGCTTGTGCACCACTTGTAACGATCCCTTGCTGCATGCACCTATTCATTGCATCAAATAAATTCAATATGAGCAATGATTCTTCGATCCAGTCATTGTATGCACATAGATAGATGAGACCAGAAGTTTATCAATTGATTTATATTTATTATAGAAAGAGAGAGACAGAAAGATGCACATGGAAGAGAATTAAAGAACCTTGAGAGCTGCAAGAGGAAGAAGGGAAGAAAGAGGTGAGAAGAACACGATGATGATGAGCATGTTGAAGCTCATTGGCTTCTTTCCTTATAGCAGAAACAAAGGGTTTGCTCTCAATGAAGAATAATAAGAAGCAAGCCAGACAAATAAAAGCAAGGAGGAAGGGATTGGAAGAAGGAGAAGCCATTGAAAGAAGAAAAGATTGTTCCTTTCTGCGCTTCAAGAGGCCACACAGCATAAACTCAATCGGGATGGCTGGCCTTTATAGGCTGAATATAATTTATATAATAGCAATATTGTTTTGCTCAAAAAAAAAATAATAATAGCAATATTGTCATGAGATAATAAAGCCTACAGTCCCTCAATTTCATTTGTGTTTTCTATTTGATTCCTTACATTTTTATTAAATTATCATGCTAGTCTTTTGAGTTTTAAAACACAAATTAACTCTTAAATTAATCTAATGTATAAAATATATTGATGAATTAGCATGTAAGATATAAATTATCTTCTGATTATAAAATTATTAAAAACCCATTATATTTATCCCTATAAGTGAGATAAACTTATTCATTTCACTTAGTTGGCTGGCCTAGGTACAATCGTACTAGCCAGGCTTCTCTCTGTATACAATTTTCTGTTCATATGTATGTACGCATGTACATATAATTTTTTTTAATATAAGGTATTTTTAAATAAATTTTACTTATAATAAAGTAATTACTTATTTTTAAGTTAATCCTATTTTTTCATATTTATCTTATTTAATATGGTATTTCACCCTAAAATAAATATAAAGTGATTTATTAAGAATACTTTTGAAAAAATAATGATTATATATTAAAAAACTTAAAGTATCTTATATTTTTTAACATTTAATTTTTTTTAAATATCTTATGTGGAGGGAGTATAAAATATTACTATGTCTGCTTCCAATAGAAAACAATAAATATGCCAACAGGAGGGGCCAACTGCAATTTGTCAAACGTCACAGCCTAAGGTCTGCGAACTCCCTAGGGCTTTTGAATTTTGATATCTTAATTGCGATCAATGAGCTTCAAGATTATATTTCTTAATTTTTTAAATACAACAAGACTATATGGTAATATACATTTATCCATATGATATATATATATATATATATATATATATATAATGCTTTCTAAGTCACGTATGAGTTTGCTTCTCCGGAAAATTGCTCATATATGCAACTAACAAAATCTCATGATGATACTTCTTATGTCATATAGAGTATTAAAGGATGGTGAATTGAAAATGATATGAAGAACGTATTAAACACTGAAAATTCATTCTGTAATATGAATACCGTTTTCATATATAATTTAAGACGGAAAAAATATCCTTTAAATTAAAATAAACATTAGCCTGAAAATGTGGGTGTATCAAATTGAATTCTCTCAAATTCGTTCAAGCTCTCTAAACTTGTGAAAGGATTCAATTATTCCATTTTTGTAAGGTCAATTACAAGAAATCAGATATATACATATGCACACACATGCATACACCTTACATTAATTAATCAATGGTTGTATCAAGAAATAATTACCCATAGGACAAAAGACTACCCAAAGAAACAGTAAAAACAAAGTCCTTAACACAACCTGAAACTTGTCACTTTAATTTATTTATGAAGCTCTTAAACATCGAAGGATTTTACATTTGTTTAACTTACATGATCACACAAGGATATCCAATTCCAATTTCCCAACCTATGACACCCAGTTTGTTTAGATTTTAGTTGGGTAAAATTAATTTTAAAATAATTGATTATCACACAGAGCTTTGAAATTCAAATAGATTCTGTCACAGTAGAGTTTCAGAAGCTAGCTCTAAACCCAATCCTTTGACCGTCAACGGTGCACGCTGCCTCCATTGTTTTTTGCCGTGTATTTCCCATGATAGCCACGTCGTCGTCATCTTGATTAGGGCTAGGGGCAGCTAATATAATACTTCCTCCGTAAAAGATATAAGATATATTTGGAGGAGTTGGATATTAAAAAATATAAGGTATTTTTAGTCTTTCAATTGTAATCTTTGCTTTTTTATTTTTAAAAGTGCCTCTATTGATGAATAACTTTATATTTATAGTAAGGTATTTAATAGGAGTAAATATAAAAAAATAAAATTAGTTTGAAAGTAGGTAATTACTTTATTAGAGAGTAAGATTCAATTAAAAAATGTTTTATATTTTTTAACGGAGGGAGTATATATTTTTCTAATGCCCAATTTCTCAATTTTATTTTTTTAAATTATTGACTTCTGTATAAAATAAAAGACATTTTTATATATTGATGTTTCAAAATGTTGATTTTTTTATAATTTTTCAAAAATAAAAAGGTGTATTATATTTTCTTTAGAAAACATAAAAAATAAAAAAATTTATCATTTTAGAACTTCAAGATATAAAAATATTTCTTATTTTATATAAAAACTAATGATAAAAAAAGAAAAATAAAATTAAGAATTTGAGGCATTAATTACAAAAGACATTAGAACATGACACATTAGAGATCCCAAACCCAATTCATGGTGGATGGCTAAGCGTGAGATATATCCATCTAGCTTTGCATCATGGTTGTTAATTATATCACTATAGTCAGATGTGGACTGTTAAACAATCTAAATAATAAATTCAAACAATCTAAATTTTAAAATTTTTAACTTACAAATTTTAAATAATAAATGCATTTTTAATAGAATGATAGTTTGGAAATTATCTTAGCCTGATCCCAAATATCTGGTTGGACGGAAAGATTTGAGAAATGTGGCATCTTGCTCTCGAGACAGCGTAGGTCCAACAATAATGGATTGGCTTATCCATAACGTAGGCCTTGCAATACTCCTGCAAATCTCTCACAGAGAAAGCAAGAATGTGGATAGCACTAGACTATCAAATTTTTAATGAACCGAGATACATTTCAATTTTTTTGAAATTTTTTTTTGAATACTAAACATGTACTAATTTGTTGAAGATATTTTTGCTTGAGCGGACCAATTATTAGTTGCAGCCACCGGCTCTAAACCCAATCTTTTCACCATCAACGTCGTACACTACCTCCAGTGTTTTCTGCTGCGTATTTCCGATAATGGCCACATAGTCATCATTTTCATTCGCAGCAAACCCTAAACACACCTGCCTTATGCTCGTTATGTACAGAATCCCTGCTACGTCCAATTCGACGTTCACTCCACCTCCGAAAGTCAATGATACCTTTGGAACGTAAACAGTGTTGAACCCCCCCAGATCGTAGCATGTGTCCAGTAAGTCATCCGTCTTGCCCTTGGGGTACCTCGCCGACATGAATCTCCTGAATGCGTCTCTCAGGGGACCGTACGCCGCCCGAGAGAGCCGTGTGATGGCTGTGCCAGAGTCGATGACAGCGCCGGAGGGAAACATGGAAGCGGAGATCGGTGGATTGACGCCACCGAGGGTGATTCCGTTGAGGTGGACACCGTAGAGGGAGGGGCCCTGGAGATGGAATAGTATGGAATGTATTTGATGTTGCTGTAGGAGGACTCCCCCCCGAAGCTAAGGTAGCCGACGGTGCTGGGGGTGGAGGGGAGGCAGTAGGAAAAGATTTTGCCGTAACTCTGGGCGGCTTGTTGGACGATGGAGACGGCGCCCCGACCGAGGCCCAGCAGTCCGGCGGTGCCCCTGAAGATACCTTGGTTGTCCTGGCCACAACCGAATAGGAAGTTTTGAAAGACGTCATTGGGAGGTATGGTTAGTGTTTCCTTCGCGTAGAAGCCAGTGGTAAAAGATCCATCACCGTATCGAATACGGTATAAGCAAGCTCTCGTCGGTGAATAACATGCGGGGGAAAGTAGGGAACAGAGGGAAGAAGTGCAGGGGATGTTAGAGTAGGAAGATGACTGCGAGGGATCGAAGATGGGATCCTTCTGGCTGTAGCAAGAACCAATACAGGGCTTACACTGTGTCCAAGTTAGGTCACTGCCGGTGTCAAATTCTAGAGACAGATCGCTCTTGGGGGTTCCTAGCCCCACCGTGACGTAGTAGTTTGCCCTCCCAAGAGCGATGCCAGACCTCGCCGGAACCTGAATCTTTGAAGTCTCTGCTTCTTGGTGACTTTGTTGTGTTCTGGAAAGCATGGAGTTTATCGCCCGTACTCTGGCTTCGTCCTGCTCCAAGATTTCGCTGTGTGGTATAATGAATGAAGTAGATGAAGATGATGATGGTGAGGGTTGCTTGGGCTTTGAACATGGCCCGTGCTTGTGTACCACTTCCATGGATCCATTCCTAATTCCTCCTGTTAATCGTATGTGTCACTTTAAACTGTGCAAGTGGTTCTATCCGCTTATTGTGGAGTTCATGAATTAGTAACAAAAATAGACAACGTACGTACGTATAACGTGGATCGAATATTTTAAAAACTTTTAAATGAATGGGGGGAAAATCGTGAAGTGAAGACTCGAGACCATTAATACCATGGACCAGAAATCATTTTAACTCGAGAACAGTGAAGTCCAAAGCAGAGTATTATTGCCATAAAAATCAAACAACATGCATTTAAATAATAGAAGATATAAGGTTAAAACTCATATGATGATAACGCAGAGAGAAATGGAAGACAGAATTAAGAACCTTGAAGAGGAGAGCTGCATGAGGAAGAAGGAAAGAGAGACATGAGTGGAACACGATGATAAGGAAGCTCGCTGGCTTCTTCTCTTTTTGCAAAAACCAAGTTTTTGTTATCAGTAAAGAAGATGAAGAAGAAGCAAACCAGAGAAAGAGAAGCAAAGAGGAAGGGATCAGAAGAAGAAGAAGCCATTGAAAGAAATAATAAAGAAGAAAAGATGGCTTCTTTCTGTGATTCTGGATGCCACACAGAATACAAAATGAGTGTAGAAGAAAGCATCCGTTGTCGCTTCACTTTATCCGAGAATATTTATGAGTGATTCGAATTAGTCACTCAACATTTTAAATATCCAATGATTTAACTTCAATAATTGTTAAAATAATGGTTAGACATTTGACCCAGTCAATGAATTATCACTGGCCCATGAGATGATCGATGTGAGTGTCACATAAAATCAACTGACTCAGTCAATGATTGGCTCAATCATTAGCAGGTTTTTGTCATCTCTTTAGCGTGGTGAGCTGTGTTCTATGAAGAAGAACAAGAGAGGGAAAGAATTGCGAAGATCCGAGGAAGTTGATGACCAACATTTGAAAAATTGGAAAGATGTGTGTTATATTGAGAGTTTTAAAAGAATTAAATTTATTATTTGTATGTTTTAACGTTATCCCTAATATTTTAAAAATTAATATCTGATTAGTGATTAAACACTGCAAATTCATTCTGTAATAAGAATACCGTTTTCATGTGTAATTTAAGACTGAAAAAATCTCCTTCAAATTAAAATACATTAGCCTGAAAAAGTATATATATCAAATTGAATTCTCTCAACAAATTCGTTCAAACTTTCTAAACTTATGAAAGGATTTAATATTCCATTTTTGTAAGGTCAATTGCAAGAAATCAGATATATAACTTACATTAATTAACCAATAGTTGTATCAAGAAATTATCGTTACAGGACCAATCAATTGCAATTACCCAAAGAAACAGTAAAACAACTAAGTCTCTGCTGTATGCATCTGAAAGTGCTATGAAGTTGACTGCCCTCCTCCACACAACTAGACTGTGCAAACTTAATATTTTTATTTTTATTTTATATTTTTTTAAATAAAAAATTTATAGAAATTGTAATTTTTTTAATAAATTTATTTATCAATTTGGACATTCCAAATTTAGTATGAATGGTCTATATTTAACATTAAAAATTTTATAAATTTTAAAATTTTAATATTAAATATAAACTATTCATATTAAATCTAGATCATCCAGACATATAAACAAATTTATTAAATTATTTTACAATTAATATAAGTTTTTTATTTTAAAAATATAAAAAATTATTAAATTTAAATTGTCCAAATTTAATCTAAATAATATAGATGTACCTCCTCAACCGAGGTGAGGAGGTGGCTTGCCTTGGAGGAGGGAAGCCAACTACAAGTGCAATATATGGTTTGAAGTCTGGGCAAGGTTGATCCAAACAAGCACACAATCAGCAGTCGTATCAAGAAATAATTATCTATGGGACAAAAAATTACCCAAAGAAAACAGTAAAAATAAAGTCCTTAACGCACCCTGAAACGTGTCACTTTTTTTCTGAAAGTCCTTAAACATTGAAGTTTTTTACATTTGTTTAACGTACATGGTCACACAACGATGCCCAATTGCAAACCTATGTGGCACGGGGTGTGTTTAGATTTCAATTTGATAAAATTTATTACAGACAAATAGAATTTTAAAATAATTAATTATTAGATACATAGTTTCATAGTCATAATTGATTATTAAATGTGGTTCCAAAAAAGGGGTGAGGAGCCATAATTGATTATCAACGGATATCCAAACATGCACACTGCTATTAATAGTTATATTTGGATTTGTATTGGTGAATGTACTTAATAAAGGAACTAAGTGTTTGTATCATTTAAATCGTTAAAATTTAGATTAATAATTTTAAATTATACTTTATTTGAAATTAATGAATGAATAAATTTATCTAAATTATTAATATAGACTTTAATGATTCAGGTAGTAAAGACTCCGAGCGTCTATAGTTACTAAATCCAAATCCCTATTATTTATTGTAAACAACCAAACTAGAGTTTGATAAACATATTCAAGATATTTTACTTTAATTAGTTGCAGCCACCAGCTCTAAGCTATCCCGTTGACCGTCAGCGTACACTATACCTCCATTTTCTCTGCTGTGTATTTCCGATGATCTGGACCCAGAAATTTTGAATCATGGAGCCATCATATATTTACACATATAAAATTATACTTGTAATACAAAAAATATAATACTACAACAAAAAATTGAAAATACATCATAAGTTTTTCCTTCAAAATTTTTCCTGATATTCTTCCCTAGGAGATTCCATATTTTGGTAATGTTGACTAATTTTTCCATTTTAGATACTATCAAAAGTTTATTTCTTTATGCAATTAACCAAACAATCATTCAACAATTTATCTCTCACATTCACTTTTGATTCTTTCTTGATGATATTTATAGCAGAAGCACTGTCAACAATTAGTTTTGGTAATATCAAAACTAAGTATAAAAGTACATACATCAATTGATATAAAATGTGCGGAGATTGTTTAAAGATGCTATTTAGGGAGGGAAAACGCTAGATTTAATGATCAGAAAATATAAATACCCGCAAATAAAATAACTAGTGCAAAATGTGTGATATTTTTTATGCGGGCCACGAAAATTATGAGTATAAAACAAAAAAAATTGAATGACTGATAAATGACAATTATATATATTTTTATCCTTTTAATTTAAACTTTTAAATATTTATTTAAAGCTAATTGAATTTAATTGACTATTATTTGATTTTATTAGCCAATATTCAACTTTTAAATTTTAACTATCTAAATCTTTGATTTTAAAATATAAATAATATCTTAAATATTTTTGTACAGTTATTATTTAATTTTTTTTATTTTTTCAGATTTTTTAGATTAAATTTAGAAGATATTGATAGAGATTACTTTGGATAAAAAGAATTTGAGCATGCTTAAAAATCAAATCAAGAATTAAATTTTAGATATTTTGTTTATACTTGTTTTTGGGTCTTTTAGTGTAGTTTTTAATTAGAACTATTTAGGATAATTTTGTCATTTTAATAAATTATTAGGCTTTCCTTTAATAAGAGACGCACGGCCGCATAGGAGACGCAAACCTATCGACACAACAAATAGCTCTTCATAGTTCTCCGTGAGCGATGGCTTCTCCTGCTAGATGCGGTTTGATTTTAAATTTTATGGAGAGCTAAATTTTTGGTGTAATTAGTTACAAATCATGATTCTAAATTTTAATCAGAATCTTTGATATTTAGAAAAGATTTTATTCTAGTTTTATTTTAACTTGCTATTCTTTTCTCTACATCTGAATTTTATGCTTTGATTGCTATTGCTGATTAGAGTAGCTATATTGCATGATTTTTGAGTTATAAATTTTATTTAAAATTTTACTTCTATAATCAATTGATATAGCATCATAAGAGTAATTTGGCCTAGCTTGAGTAATTATTCATGCTTTGTTTCTGATGTAGCTAACTTAGAACAGTTGTTAGGTTGTGGGTTAAGGAAGATTTTAATTAATCTATAACTTAATTTCTTGTTTAATTCTTGAATAATAATTGGAAAAATATATAATAAAACAAGAACAGTAAAGTTAAATAAAATTAATTTATTTTGTGGACAAGGAAGATTAAATTTAAGTGATTGGATTGTGATTGATTGCGCTGCTTGTTTTTGATAATTTTTTCGATTGAATTTCCTTTATTTATTTAATTTTAATTTATTTTTTTAAATTAATTTCATCATTAAAAAATCCCTCCATTATTTACCTTTTTATAATTATAATTTAAATAGTTAATCCATTGATTCTTAGGGAGATGATCTAGTTGTTCTTTAATACAAAATTTAATTTTTATTAATTTTGGTTCATTCAATAGTAGTGTCAATGATATAAGAAATTGTAATATTATTTATCATTAATATATATATGAGATGGGGCATAAGGTATCACTTGAATGCACTCATGTAGGAGCAAGTCATATGGATTCTACCCGCTCAATGTGCAGTTCAAATAGTAGGAAAACAATAAAGACAATACAAATGAGAAGAGATTCTATACAAGGAAATCACATTTGGGTTTGAAAAGACTAATATAATCATGTACTGACTTACCACTTTGTTCTAATCATTTGGATTATTAAATATTAATTAACTATCTTAGTCAATGCTATAGATCAAATTTTTATAACAGAGTGAGAGATGCAAGAGAAATTGAAGAACCTTGAGGAGGAGAGGTGCAAGAGGAAGCAGGGAAGAAAGAGGTGGGACGAACATGATGATGAGTTTGTTGCAGAAGCTCATTGACTTCTTTCTTCATTTTTGCAGAAACAAAGGGTTTATCCTCGATTAAGAAGAAGAAGAAGCAAGCCAGAGAAATAAAAGCAAACAGGAAGCCATTTGAAGAAATAGAAGCCATAGAATTAATAAGAAGAAATATAGTTTCTTTCTTTATCTGTGCTCGATTCAAGCTGAGATAGGGATGGTTCGTCTTTATATATGGGCTAATTAAATTTCATAATATTAATATGATATTCTGATTAAAACAACTATTAAAACCCATTATTTATTTATACAGCAGGCAAACTAATTCACTTCATTTAGCTGGCCTGCTGGTTATGTTGTATTAGCTAGCTAGGCTTCACAAAGTACACTTTGGTGCTATATTACCAAGTCTTCCAATAGAAAACAGAAGGCCAGCAAGAGAGTCAAATTAAACAATCCTTTTCTTCTACTTTCGGGATCAACGACCTTCAAGATTCTTTTGTTTTTTCCAACAAAAAAAAAAAGAACTTCAAGATTGTTTTTATAGACGCACAAGATTGTTGGTCACCTGGTCTTTCCTTTGTTTGGGATCAGATTAAATTTATTATCACTTCATTTTACCCAAAAACATTAAATCACAAGCACGACGATGTTAAATCTAATGATGGAGCCATGAAATGTTTAGAAAATAGATCGATAACTTGATAAGGATGAGAAAAGAGTTAAGTATAACGAAAGAAATCTCTGCGTTTTAAAATTCATATTTTGCAATTATTGGAATTAGAAATAAAAATGTAAAAATCATTTTAGCGTTAAAAATATTTGTACTTTACTGTACATTCGATTTCATTCTTGATCATATATGAAAAATTCACACCCTCAAGAACCTCAGAATTTTGACATTAAAACGCAACTCAACTTAATTGCAGTTTGAAAATTTTAAAATTAATCGATGTAATTCTGCTGTATGCATCTAAAAAATGGAAAAAGAGAAGGGGCGGGGGGGAAGCTTGCTGTAAAACTTTGATGGACGGATATATGAACGGATTCTCATCGATGTTCTTGATGCAATTTTTTGGTGCATCTTTTTCTATATCCTCTCACAAATAGAATTTTAATTTTTCCAACAATTTAGAAAAGTAAAAAAAATTAAAGACCGAGCCACTGATTTTGACATTATTATGAGAGGATGTAGTAAAAAAAAAAAAACGTACACCAAACATAGTAACAGACAATATTAGAAATTCATGGTGGGTGATTAAGATCGACTTAAGACCGAGATATCCGTATAGCTTCGGATCATGGTACTTATACTATGGTGAGATCTGGACTGTTAAAATCCAATTTAAACAAAATAAATTTAAAAATTTTTAACTTACAATTTTAAATAATAAATTCATTCTTAATAGAATGACAGTTAAGAAATTATCAGAGCTTATCCCAAATTTCTGGTTGGACGGAATGAAATGGGACATATGGCATCTTGCTGTTGACACTGCGTAGGTCCAAAAAATAAGGGATTGGCTTATCCATAACATAGGTCTTGCGGTTTTTCTGCAAATCTCTCACAATGCAAACAACAATGTGGATAAAACTCACCTATCAAACTTTTAACGAACAGAGATACATATTAGTTTTTTTGAAAAAAATATATATTTTTTTCAAATACTAAACATGTACTAATTTGTAGGGTCTTGCAAGGAAATCGAATGACATCACATTAAAGAGTAGTTATATCAAGAAATAATTGTCATTTATAGGACAAAAAAAAAATACCCCAACGAAACAATATAATATAAACAAGGTTCTTAACACACCCTAAATTTTCTAACTTTGTTTGAAGTATTTGGCATTTGTTTTAGATAATCAAACGAGGATGCACAATTCCAAACCAACGACAACATAATTACCAGCTAATAGTTACATTTTTCATATTCACTTTCCTCACTCATCTTAAGGATTTTGTTGCAGACAAGCAGCAAGATAGAGTTTAATATACAAGTTGAAGATATTTTTGGTCCACTGGACCAATTATTAATTAGTTGCAGCCACCGGCTCGAAACCCAATCTTTTCACCATCAATGTCGTACACTACCTCCAGTGTTTTCTGCTGTGTATTTCCGATAATGGCCACATCGTCATCCTTTTCATTCGCAGCAAACCCTAAACAGACTTGCCTTATGCTAATTATGTACAGAATCCCTGCTATGTCCAACTCCACGTTCACCCCACCACCGAACGTCAATGATACCTTTGGAATGTAAATAGTGTTGTTGCCACTCAGATCGTAGCATGTGTCCAGTAAGTCATCCGTTTCCCCCTTCGGGTACCTCGCAGACATGAATTTCCTGAACGCGTCTCTCAAAGGAGCATACGCCGCCGGAGGGAGCCGTGTGATGACGGTGCCTGAGTCGATGATGGTGCCGGAGGAAAACATGGAGGCGAAGATCGGGAGATTGTTGCCACTGAGGGTGATTCCAACGAGGTCGATGCCGTAGAGGGAGGCGGCCTTGGAGATGGAATGGTACGGAATGTATTTGATGTTGCTGTAGGAGGACGCCCTGCCGAAGTTGAGGTAGCCGATGGTGCTGGGGGTGGAGGGGATGCAGTAGGAAAAGATTTTTCCATACTTCTGGGCAGTTTGTTGGACGAAGGAGATAGCGCGACGACCGAGGTCGAGCAGTCCGGCGGTGCCCTTGAAGATACCTCTATTGTCCTAGCAGCAGCCGAAGAGGAAATTTTGAAAGACGTCATTGGGAGATATAGTTAGTGTTTCCTTCGCATAGGAGCCAATGGTAAAAGATCCGTCGCCGTATCGAATACCATAGAAGCAAGCTCTCGTCGGTGAATAACATGAGGAGGAGAGATGAGAACACAATGAAGAATTGCAGGGAACATTAAAGTAGGAAGATGACTGTGACGGATCGAAGATGGGATCCTTCTGGCTGTAGCAAGATCCAGCACAGGGCTTGCACTGAGTCCAGGTTAGATCACTACCTGTGTCAAATTCCAGAGACAGATCTCTCTCGGGGGTTCCCAGCCTCACCGTGACGTAGTAATTTTCCGACCCCAGAGGGATGCCGGACCTAGCTGGAACTTGAGTCATTGAAGTCTCTGCTTCTTGGCAGTGGTTTTTTATTTTGGAAAGCATGTTGTTGATTGCCCTCACTCGGGCTTCGTCCTGCTTCAAGATTTTGCTGTGGGGTATAACCAATGAAGAAGACGAAGATGATGATGAGGGTTGCTTCAGCTTTGAACATGGCCCGTGCTTGTGTACCACTTCCATGGATCCATTCTTGCTTCCTCCTGTTCTTTCGTATGTGTCACACTTTAAACTATGCATGTGGTTCTACTATTCAATTGAAATAGTAACAAAAAATAAACACGTACGTACGACATGGGATTGTATATTTTAAAAACTTTTAAGTGCATTGAAAAAGAAATCCACAAGTGAAGACTCGAGAGTCAAGACTATAAACACTATATATATACCAGATATCATTTTAACTCGAGACACAGACACACAATGAAGACTCATGCAGAGTATTATTGTTATGAAAGTCAAACACCCTTGCATTTAAATAAAAGAGATATAAAGGTAAAATTCATATGATGATCACAGAGAGAGAAGGAAGACAGAAATTAATGACCTTGAGGAGGAGAGCTGCATGAGGAAGAAGGAAAGAGAGAGCTGAGTGGAATACGATGATAAGTATTTTGAAGCTCACTGGCTTCTTCTCTTTTTGCAGAAACCAAGCTTTTGTTCTTGGAAATGGAGGGCGAGAAGACGAAGAAGAAGAAGCAAACCAGAGAAAAAGAAGCAATGAGGAAGGGGTTATTAGAAGAAGAAGAAGCCATTGAAAGAAATACAGAAGAAAATATGGTTAGCTGCTGTGATTCTGGAGGCCACACAGAATACAAAATATATATGTTATAATGGGATACTATACGAGTGTAGAAGGAAGCATCCGCTGCCACTTTACTTTATCCGTGAATATTTATGAGTGATTCGACTTAAACCAGCCAAAATTTTAAATATCCAATGATTTAATTTCAATAATTCTTAAAATAAGGGTTATACATTTGACTCAGTCAATGAATTGACATGGGCTTATACGATGATGTGAATCACACATTAAATCGATTGACTCGGTCATTAGCATGTTTTTGTCAAGTCTTTAGGGCGACGAGCTGTGCTGTGAAGAACACGAGAGGGAAGAACACCCGAGGAAGTTGACCAACATTTGAAATTTTGAAAAGATGTCCGCGTGTTATATTCATATATCAAGATTTTTAAAAGAATTAAATTTATTATTACTTATTAGTATTTTTTAACGTCATCCCTAATATTTAAAAAATTAATCTCTAAAAGTATTATAATTTTCGTTCAATTTTAGGGCGGCGAGCTGTGTTTTATGCAGAACAAGAGGGAAAGAACTGCAAAGATCCGAGCAAGTTGATGACCAACATTTGAGAATTTGGAAAGATGTGTGTTATATTCTTGTATCAAGAGATTTAAAATAAGTAAATTTATTATTCGTATTTTTAAACGTTATCCATAATATTATAAAAATTAATCTCTGAAATTATTATTTAATGACAATCATGTAGACATATGAAAAGAAATATAATTATTTAGATATAAAAGACTCAAAAATTTAAATAAAATAAAATAGGAAAACACCATGTAAAATATTTAATTAGATTGATATAATTAGATATATCTACATGCCAAGTCCTCAATATATTTTAAAAAATATAATTGTAAGAGAAAAAATTAATAAAAATTAAACTTGAGGGAACAAATTAATAATTTAATCAAACTTAAGGAATTAATGCTATAATTTTATTGACAACTATTTTATAGTAAGAATTAATTAAGAACTTTAGCAAACTAATGTTTTGTTAAAAGATTTGAAAATTAAGTTTTTTACTTGTATTTATATGTAAAAATGTCAAATGGCATTAACGGCTTTGTAGTTGTATATGTTTTGAGATGCAAGAGGCCATGGATTCTAATCTCAATTTGATGTAAGTGAAACTAATTAACAATAACAGACCTTGAAACTTCAACGTAATATGAAGAATCTGTCATCAATAAGTAGTTGTATCAAGAAATAGTTATCGTTATCAGACCGAAAAAATATCCAAAGAAAAAGTAAAAAAGATACCAGAAACTTGTCACTTTATTTAGGGAACTCTTACATTTGTTTTTTAACGTACATGACCTCACAAGGATGCTTAATATAGTAAATTCCAAACCTGTGGCAACATAATTACCAGCAATTAGTTGCATTTTTCACATTCACTTTTCTTATAATTAACGTCCTCTTGCGGATTTATTATTGGAGAAAACCAAACTAGAGTTTCAGAAATGTATTCAACATATATTGTACTCAAATTAATTAGTTTATATTTAATTAGTGATATAAACATGTCTTAATTAAAAATAATTTTATTTTTATTTGAATAATTAATTTTTAGGGAAAATAGATGATTTTTCTACTATGAAAAATAACAAAAAGAGATAAATTTTTATAATTTTTAAAATGTAAAAAAAATATTAAAAAATTCTTCTTTATTTGCGGGTCAACTCGCTAACCTACCAACCCGTTGCGGGTTGTGAGTTAGCAGAATTCAACTCACACAAAATGCAGGCATGCGAGCTCACCGTTTCAAACTTGCAACCCACTGGGGGCTAACCCAAAAGTTGCGAGTTGAAACATATTACCGGCTTTACTTTTTGCAAAAACAAAGCTTTTGTTGTCGGAAAAGAAGAAGAAGAAGCAAACCAGAGAAAGAGAAGCAAAGAGGAAGGGAAGAAAGAAGAAAAGATGGTTTCTTTCTGTGATTCTGGAGGCCACACAGAACACCCACAAAAAAAAAAATTGCTTGAATGGGATACTAAATGAGTGTAGAAGGAAGCATCTGGTGTCACTTCCCTTTATGGGTGAATATTATTTATGAGTGATTCGAGTTAACCACCCAAAATTTTAAATACCCAATGATTTAAATTCAATAATTGTTAAAACAATGGTAATAGATTTGACTCAGTCAACGAATTATCACGGGCTTACGAGATGATGTTATTCTCACAATAAATCGATTTAGTCAGTCAATGATTTACTGTCATTGGCATGCATTTGTCCAAGTCTTTCTGGCAGCGATACGTGCTGTGAAGAACACGAGAGGGAAAGAACACCGAAGATCCCAGAAAGTTGACGACGACCAACATTTGAAAGCTATTGTTCAATTATTTTCTTTGATTCAGAGATGATTGGTTCGATTTAAGGCTTTCAATGTGAATCTGATCGATGACTTTTGGTTAATTTTTTCTGAAGGCTTTGTTTGGTTTTGTTTGATTTGAATCTAGAGATTGGATCGATGTTTCTTGAAAGAGACGTGTATATGATATATCAATTTGTGTAAATCTAATCAAATAACTCAACTCAGATCAAACTCTATAACTAATCTCAAGTTAGGTAGAGTCTAATTCATGTACAGACTCAAACTTACGAAAATGCTTCATCATTTTATGGAGTTGAGAATTTAGGCAAGTCTAAGTGAGCTAGATAACTCTAGGACGACTAAGCTCAGAAAAATAATAATTTTAGATATTTCAGGTTTTATTTGAGGCGGCCATGGATTAAGTCGCTTTATATATTTTTGCATTTTTTTTTTACCATGAAGACCAGGAGATAAAAGCATATTATTAAAGCAAACTTGAATATGGTTCCGTAAAAAGTGTCAAGTGATGGTGGCTGTTCGGGGGGGAAAAAGAAACAAATTGATATTTTGAAAACTTAAAAAAGAAAAAGAAATAATTAGAGCAGGCAAGTCAACGGGAATTATTTGGGAAGTTCCAGCGGTTTTCTTGGAAAACATCGTGCACCATGGCTCCTCGTAGAAATCATGGGCAACTGACCTCAGTTTCCTTGTTAATAGTTGAAAATTGCAAAAATTGCCTCTGTTTTTTTTACTGTTGCAACTTCATATTTATAGTCTTTTGCAAGACTTCGAGTTTCCAAAGTCTTTTGCGTCCTTTATGGTGATGTTTGTTAACATGAAAGTGCGCACTTGATTTGAAATAAAGAGACGAAATGGTTTTCCACCGGTAATGTGAATGCTATTATATTGCTCATTTTATGTTCATATATTATATTTAAGACTGAAAAATCTCTGTTAAATTAAAATTAACGTTAGTCTTAAAAAAGATATACAACTGCGAACCCCAAACTTTTGAGTCCAATTCATCTAACAAAAAGTTAGGTAGTATCTAATTATATTATTTAAATTTAAATCCTCTAAAATTGAAAATTCATACATGAATTTTATAAAGCTTTCCTTTTTAACAAAGAGAAAGAAAATATTTATATTTTATAAAAATAATAAAATGAGTAAAAATACTAAAAGAAGAAAACTTTACATAAATTCATATATATTTTATCAACATTTAAAAGTTAAATATAAAAATTTATTGAGATTAAGTTTAAAAGATTAAAAAATACTTTATAAAATAAAGAGACTAAAATTATAAATAAAGAAACTAAAATAAAACTTTGTTTAAAATTAAAAAATCAAATGTATATTTTAGCTATTCATAAATCTCAACAAACAAATTCTAAGCTCTCTAAACTTGGAAGAAATAAATGAGATATATATCTTCCATTAATTAATCAATAGTTGTATCCAGAAATTATCGTGATAGGACCCATCAATTACCCAAAGAAATCAGTAAAACACGTCTGCTATATATATATATATGAATCTAAAAGTGCAATATGCTTTGGATCAACTCTAACAGCTCGATCAGCAGTTTGTATCAAGAAATAATTATCTATAGGACAAACAATTACCCAAAGAAACCGTAAAAACAAAGTCATGTAAACATCGTCGTATATAATTACCAGCTATTGGTTACATTTTTCACTTCCTCACTTCCTCTTACGGATTTATTGTAGGCAGCCAAAAACTAGTTTTATAGACTTATTAAAGATATTTCGCTTTAATTACTTGCAGCCACCAGCTCTAAACCCAATCCTGGGACCGTCAACGTCGTACACTACCTCCAGTGTTTTCTGCTGATTATTTCCGATGATAGCCACGTCGTCGTCATTTTGATTCGCAGCGAACCCCAAACACACCTGCCTTGTGCTCAATATGTACACAGTCCCTATTACGTCCAACTCCACCTTCACCCCACCTTCGAACGTCAACGATACCTTTGGAATGGAAACAGTGTTGAAGCCACTCATATCGTAGCATGTGTCCAGTAAGTCGTCCGGATCCCCCTTCGGGTACCTCGCGGACATGAATCTCCCAAAAGCTTCTCTCAGGGGACCGTACGCCGCCCGAGGGAGTCGTGTGATGACAGTTCCCGAATCGATGATCGTGCCAGAGGAAAACGTGGAGGCTGAGATCGGTAGATTGACGCCACCGAGATTGATTCCGATGAGATTGACGCCGTAGAGGGAGGGGGCCTCCGAGATGGAATGGTACGAAATGTATTTGATGTTGCTCTTGGAGGACGCCCCGCCGAAGCTGAGGTAGCCGACGGTGCTGGGGGTGGAGGGGATGCAGTAGGAAAAGATTTTGCCGTAATTCTGGGCTGTTTGTTGGACGATGGAGACGGCGCTGCGACTGAGGCCTATCAGTCCGGCGGTGCCCCTGAAGATACCTCGATTGTCCTGGCCACAGCCAAAGAGGAAGTTTTGAAAGACGTCATTGGGAGGTATGGTTAGTGTTTCCTTGGCATAGGAGCCAATGGCGGAGGAGCCGTCGCCATATTTAATACGGTATAAGCATGCTTTTGTTGGTGCATAACACGCCGAGGAAAGTCGGGAACACAGAGAAGAGGTGCAGGGAATATTAGAGTAGGAAGATGACTGTGAAGGATCGAAGATGGAATCCTTCTGTTTGTAGCAAGAACCAGTACAGGGCTTACACTGAGTCCAAGTCAGGTCACTGCCGGTATCAAATTCTAGAGATAGATCAGTCTTGGGGGTTCCCAGCCCCACCGTGACGTAGTAGTTCCCCCTCCCAAGAGAGATGGCGGACCTCGCCGGAACCTGAATCTTTGAAGTATTAGCTTCTTGGAGGTTCAGTGTTCTGGAAAGCATGGAGTTGATTGCCCTCACTCTGGCTTCGTCCTGCTTCAAGATTTCGCTGTGTGGTATAATGAATGAAGACGAAGTCAATGATGATGAGGATGAGCGTTGCTTCAGCTTGGAACATGGCCCGTGCTTGTGTACCATTTCCATGGATCCATTCCTGCTTCCACCTGTTCATCGTTTGTTGTCACTTGAAAGTACGAAAGTGGTTCTATCCGTGCTTATTGTCCAGTTGAGATAGTAAAAAAAAAAAATAACAACGTACGTACAACATGGGATTTAATATTTTATAAACTTTAGTGAATAGTGGGTGAAAATCGTGAAGCGAAGACTCAATAAATGTATACTATACACCAGGAAATCAATTTAACTCGAGACACAGTATACAAAATTGTGAAGCTGGCGCCGATCAAATAATAATAGTAATTAATGTATAAATCAACCATGTAATAAGTAAAAAGATGACAAACTAAGAGTTCAAAAGTTAAACAGAGTTAGAGAGATTGAAGAGAGAGAGAAACCTTGATGGGAGCTGCAAGAGGAAGAAGGAGAGAGAGAGTCGAGAGTAACGCGATGATGAGTATGTTGAAACTCGAAAGCTTCTTCTGATCTTATTGCATTAACAAAGCTTTTGTTCTCAGAAATGAAAAGGAAGTAGAAGAAACAAGCGAGAGAAAAGGAAGCAGCGACGAGGAAGGGATTAGAAGGAGAAGAAGAGGCCATGGAAAGAAAGAATAAAAGATTATTTCTTTCAATTGATTCAAGTTGGCCACAGAATATACTCGTAGTCGGGATTGTTAGCTTTCAATTTATAGAAAAAAATTTCATGTTTTGCATGAATAATACATATTTAAATCCTTTAAAATTAATATATGTGAATTTATGTGAATTTTATTTTTTTAATCTTTTTTGCATTTTATTATTTTTTATAAAATGTAAATTTTTTTCTTTCTTCTTAAGAAAGATAAACTTCACATAAATTTACCGATCTTAATTTTAATAGATTCAAATATGAATAATATATTTATATTAAATCAGGTGAATCTCACGTACGTAATATTCTATTTATATTTTATATTAATATCGATGTATTTATAAAGTTAAAGGAAGTCTCACATATATAAATTAAAAAATAAATTATAAATATGTAAAGTTTTAATATATTTAGTCAAATAGTTTAAGCTATTTTCGTAAAGTAAATTATCCTTCAACATACTTAATATAAAAAAAATCTAACAACATGGGTTATTTTTAAATTTAATTATTGATATTAAAAAGTAATTATAATTATGAGTTTATAGGACTTTTTTTTGTAACTTGCAGTTAATTATACTTAACAATTTTTTTCAATTAAAAAAATACTAGTGAATTTTATGTGTTAATAATAATAATAATAATAATAATAATAATAATAATAATAATAATAAACAAAATATTTACATATTTTAATTTAATTAGAATCAAACAACTTAAATATATAAGTGTGAATATATATATATATATATATATATATTTTACAGTGGTCCACATTAGAGCGTTGCTACTGGTTGATGATGAGCATATTGGGAAAAAAGACCAATACAATTTGCCCAACCAAATTATTGAATGCTCCACTCGTGAGTCTTCGTATATATGCGTTTACCAGAACAACGGAAAAACCAAAACAATTTGAACAATGGAAAAACCAAAACAATGTGAACCACTTTCTAAATTTCCTATCTTTAATCATATCAATTCTCATGGATCATGGGTTAGTTTCATTTCCCTTCATGTACGATAATTATCACATTTTTAGATAGCTTTTATTCAAAAAGCACTTTAAAAATATAAAAATAATAAATTGAGAAAGTCAATTCAAGAGTCCGACGACTATGCTTACAAGGATGCACAATTCCAAACCTATGACGCCATATTTAACAGCTGTTAATTACATTATTTTTCACATTCATTTTCCTCACTTTCTCTTGCGGATTTCTCGGAGACCTTAATAAATATGTTCAAGATGTTTTGCTTTAATTAGTTGCAGCCACCAGCTCTAAACCCGATCCTTTGACCGTCAATGTTGCACACTGCCGAAGGACCACCGTGTTGTATAAGGCCTCCCCACAAATATTTTGTAAGTTCTTGCTAAATATAGGTAATAATATATGTATCATTTGCTCCCATTTGCGCGCTGTTGATATATTTATTTTTAAAATTAACTTGGATATTACCGGTGACAATTGTAATAGCTCAGGTTTTAAAAATTAGACAGATAATTAAACCTAATAAGATATTAATTCAAGAGTTAATGGTTTAACCATAATTGAACCATGATCCAACATGTTACGATTAATTTTTTTATTTTTTTGTTTGATATGCATATAAAATTACAAAAAAAAATCTATAATGATAAAAATGACATTTAAATTAAAAATATTTATCTAAAATATAAAGAAAATTTATAAAGTATTTTATATCGCTTATCTTAATTTGTTTAAAAAATGAAAGTATATATTTAGCATGCTTCATCCTGCTTATCTGGCAACGTAAAAGGCAATTAATGATATTAATTTGAATTCCTTTCTTTAAAAAGCTTTTGCATTGACCAAAAAAGCAAAAATCAAGTAACCCCCACCTTTCAATGGGTTCAGTTTCCCTGCTCAGCAATATGATGAGTGCATATGGTACTCATCAAGTAAGCGGTGCTCTTCTCCCTCATTTTGATTTCGCTCGAGAACTTAGGCCCAGAAAAATGGAAAAATGGAAGGAAATGGTCATTGGGAGTTTCGGATTATTTTCGTGGGACCTACCCGCAAGACTGATGGAATTGTTTTTTTTTTTCCCTGGTGAAATAAGTTCATTTTTTTTTTTAGTGGAAAGGAGAAATTCATTGACCTAAAGACTACAGGTCTGTCCATATCTTTCATCCTTCAATTAAAATGAAAATTTTAGCTACTTATTATATTTATTGCAGTTATTCCTTGGATTTCTTAAATTTAATTTTTATTGTTATTTAAATATCAAATAAGAGAAAACAAAGAAATCAAATAATTATGAAAAATGAATTTTTCTCATCTAATCACATACATGCATGTCAAGCTATTAATATATTTTATACATCAGTTTAATTTAAGGTTCAATTTATATTTCAAAATTTAGAATACTAACATTATAACTTAAGAAAACAAAATATTAGATTGACAACAAATTAAACTTGAGGGATCAAAATAAAATTGAGAGACTAGAAATTTTATTATTCTTTAAATTTATGTAGGTATAAACCAATCTTTAAAGAACAAATTGTTCTTTATTTTTTAACATGTATGCGAAATAAATTACAAAATATTTTGCGTGGCAGTAAATCAAATTATTCTTTACATTTTCAATAGGGAAGATGACAAAAACTCATCATCATTATTTTGCAAATTTTTCTTTATTTTTTAAAATGTATGGGAAACAAATTGTTCTGTTATTGTTTATTTATATTATATGTAACTGGAAGATGGAAATACACACAGGACTAAAATTTTTGGCTCAGTGTGAACTCATTTCAAGGGAAAAGAGAAAAAAATACAAGCTCCATGATTTATGCTAGTGGGTACCACGAAAATAGTCCCAATGGCGAATTCCTTTTCACTTTTCCATATTTTGTCCTCGAGCGAAATCAAAATGAAGGAGATATGAGATGAGATGGCGTGGGTTGGTTTGCTTACATCACCCAAGATGAGGTATCATTTACTTGACCAAGACCATGCGCTCATCACGGATCCATCTCCTTTCTCCCTACTCCATATCCACCATCCAAATCTCACTTGCTTGATCCAACGATTCTCCCACTTTGCTGAGGCAAAATATTCATTTTAAACAATTTCAAATTTTGCAATCTTAACCGTAAAAGACACGGTTGAGTTTTAAATATACTTTTACACACATATTTAAATTAATATTCAATATTTATTTTGAAAAAAATTGAGAACCTAATTATTATTAATTTAATTTTTAGGATTCATAAAAAATCCATCTTAATGCTACCTGCTATCATCAAAATAAATCAATAAATAATAAAAATTCACGTGCATTGATAGTATATGATATGATGATAGAATAATAATAAGAAGCCAATCAGACTCAGTGCATGCCTAAAAGTAACTCAAAAAATTAAACTCATGGAGGGTTTGATCTTTGTCAGAGGAGTATAAATGAATCTCACCAAAAATTAATAATCAACTAATATTAACATTACTAAAGGCTTCTAACGATAGGCAATTGACGAAAACAAAGGAAATTAAAGTTGAAACCACTAATTCCATAACTTGCAAAGTGGGAGAACCGTCGGATCAAGGAAGTGGGATTTGAATGGCAGACATGGGGTAGGGAGACAAGTGTGGAGAGGATACAGGGAGAGGATCCGGAATTCAAGGCACAGGTGCACTGAAGAAATACAATATTTTTTTACTATTATTTTATTTTATACTACCTAAAAACCAAGGGGTAATACTCAGTTACATACACCCCACTGAACCCTAGTCTTCTTCCTTCATTCTTTTCTTTTCCACTCAGTCTACTCGGTCGCAGTGCCTCCACTTAAAGAAATTGGGAGCAAAAGACTTGATTCATTCATTGATTGGGAGTTACATATATACAACATTGTATCAATATCTCAAATCTTCAAAATATCTATCTATATTTACAAATATCATAACAGAGTATCGCAGCGGAAGTATCGTAACAAACAGTAACAAATAGCTTTGACTAGATCTATGGGCTTTGGAGAAGTGGGCCCAAGGCTTGCATGCATGCATGTGAGGGCGTGAGCGTTGCGTTGCTTCAGTCCATTCCTTTACCACTAGCCATCAAACTCAAAGCACCGTTGGAGATTCTCGTTAGATAACTATTTTATTATAGATTTGGTAGTTTAGTAACTGCAGAAGCGCATCTAGGATGATGGTTTGTCACAAAATAAATTTTCCTCTCAATTTTTTTTTCCCTTGTTCCTTCCTCTCATCTTTTTGTCTTGGTTTATCTTTTTTTTTCCTTTTTTTCTAGATCTAATGCTTGAATCAATCGATCAGCCAACCAGTCAATTTTTACTAGTTTTCTGATTTTCTGACCGATTTATCAATTTTTGATCGATTAATTTGTTGATCACACAATTTGCTTGCATCAACTGAATTGAACTAGTGATCAATTCTCGATTGGACCGGTCAATTCAGTTGATCCAATTCAGTTTTTAAACCCCTAGCAACAACTGCAAAAAGCTTTCAAAAAATCATTTTACTATGCAAGTAACCAAACAATTATTCAGCAATTTATCTCCTATGCAATTTCACTTCTAATTCTTGATGATATTCATAACAAAAGAAGCCCTTTCAATTATTGCAATTGCCCCTGATAATATTAAAGTTAATGCTAAAACTAAATATCTCAATGGATATACAATGTGCGAAAATTGTACAAAAATTGTGCGAATATGTTATTTAGAGATTTAGTTTCCTTAACTGAAGTGAAGTTGGAAAAAATGGGAGGGGAGATTAGAGGGAGAAAGTCAGTTTGCCCTAACCCTGGCTTCGTCAAGCACGAGGATTTCCAACAGAACATTTTCATTATCCATAAAATAAACTTCATCCGACTTAACATGATGAGCATCTTCATGATGATGAAGTTGAAGGTTAGTTTTCTTCTCTTTTTGCATAAACGGAGCTCTTGTTCTCGGAGCTGGAGAAGAATAAGTATACAAGAAAAAGAGCGGCAAAGAGGAATGGATTAATTAGAAGAAGAAACCATGTCAAGAATGAGGAAAACATATATTCTTTTTTGTGAATGAGACTAATACGTGTCATAATAATATTAATATTATATTATGAAAGTGTCAAATACATTTCACGGAATAATATAAATATGTACTGGGTATTCACTTCTGTCTCTATTACATAATGTATTCGAGAAAGAAAAAAAATTTGTTGTGCTTAATATAAGGCACTTGCTAAGTCTAATATTACTCTAATTCAAACTTATTAATTATGAAAGAGATTGAGTAAAAATTTAAAAATATTTCATATAAATAAAGGTAAGATTAGAAGTTTATGTTATTTACAGACAAGGTTATAGATGTTATCTAGGGATTTAATTTTATGAACTAAAGTGAAGTGGGAAAAAATAAAAAAGACGGAAAAAGTAGGGTTTATGAGAAAAAATAAATAACCACAAATAAAATTATGTGCATTTAAAATGTGTAGTATTTTTTATGTATGCCATGAAAATTATGAGTATAAAAAATAAAAAAATAAATGACATAAAAAAGTAATTACTATTTTTTATCACCGAGGTCATTAATACCTAAGGGATGGAAACATATGAGACACTTATTACATATATTTATTAAAGAATTTGCAGTAGCTAGGTCCATCCCTGCTTGGTCATGAATCAGTTTGGCGTCATCATTGTAGTGCTCCACCTTAGCGCCTTGCTAATGGTTCATGATGAGTATATTGGGGGCAAAAAAAATTAAAGACCAATACGTACAATTTGTCCCACTAATGATATTTCACACACACACACGCACACACACACAGAGAGGACTCAGGAGTCTTCCTATATGCGTTCAGTTTTGGTGCTTATCAGGTGATGAGCACGATCCTGATGAGCAATCTGGCTTCAAATTTTTAATCTTGACGGTTCAAATTTATCAGTTTTATTTTTATATTTTAATATATATTAATTAAATTATAAAATATAAAATTTTAATAAATCTACTTTATCATCAATCTAGACAATATAAATTTAATTTAGATGGTCCAATTTAAGATTAAATTTTTTTAAAAAAATTATAAATTAACTATTCAAATGTACTCTGAATTCAGTCTGCCCAAAATACATTTAAATAGTCAATTTATAAATTTTTTTTAAAAAATTAATATTAAATTAAACCACTCAAATTAAATTTAAATTATCTAGATTGATGATAAAGTAGATTTATTAAAATTTTATGATTTTTTATAATAAATATAAAATAAAATTAAAAAACAAATTTTCTAAAATCTGAATGTTTAGATGCTCCTCAAGTGATGAGCACTGTAATCGAACTCTTTCTTATATACGCCTTTACCAGAACAGTGGAACAATCAAAACAATTTGAACTACTTTCTAAACTTCCTCTCTTTAATCGTTCCCACGGATCATATGGGTTTGTTCACAGAAGGAAATTGTGCAAAGTTTCTTTTCCAACGTATTAAGAAGGATTAATAAGAATAAGGTGCAATGAGGACCAAAATGCTATGACAAAAAACACATCTTGCTAAAGTACTTGACAAAGTCCTCTTTACGATAAGATTTGAAACTTTATTGTAAATCACTGGGTTATCGCTTTCAGCCCAAAAAAATGAATTGGACTGGCTTGCCCACAACTCAGGACTAATTTCAAGGTGTTGGAATATTTGCCTATTGACATGTCTTTGTCTTGGACTCTTGGTTTTCTTGCATGATTTACCATATTCTCGTATTCTATTTAAAAAAAAAAAAACACTTAACACATACCGTTACCTTCTTTGGCAAGTGACGAAACCTTATTGGACTCCAACCCAGCCCATTTGCACACCCAATTGAAGCAAATATGTCTCTGTGTGTATCTTTACATGATAAATGGTCCAAGCCTAAAGGCCTTAAAATAATTATGATGGAGTTTGAGGGCACGTCAAGGCCGCACACACCAAGCACCACGTTACTCCGTACACAAACACTAGACACTGTTATTAAATACTTCTTCTAAATTACAATATAAGACATTAGTAATACTTTACTACAGTTATAAAAATAGTTGAAACTATAATTTCTTATAATTTTTTACACCTTTTCAAATATACTTACATTAAATATATTAAACAAGTATCTTAATGATGATAATTGAAATTTTAATGCATCAGGTTTTTTTAAGAAGAATAACAAATGAAGTAAAAGTATTATTAAAAATAATTATAAAAGTGCCTCATGTTTTATATTTTAAACTAAGTAGAACTTTTAAAAGATGTAGAAAGAATTATAGCGGCTGTGGTTGAGGAAGGTATGTGAAAGATATAACTAAATTTGAGAGGGTAGAGACCGTGTTCGGTTTATATTGTGCAATTGATTGGGTTCCCGGAAAGTTGACGTGTCAAAAATCGACCACATTCAACGCGTGCATGATAATGCACAGTTATATCATGGGTCAAAAATAAAGATAATAGACCCAACCGGTGACATAGATGCATGTCACAAGTGCGATGTGTCTGTTTAATTTCTTTATTCATAACATAATCTAGAAAACTTTTACGACCTCTTTATCCATATGTCCATATATAACATCCTTATTAGTAACTTCCTTTTTCCCTTCCCGTGCAGATTTTTCCCCGACCACACCAAAATAGATCAAATTGACCATAAATAGACCTATAACTACATATCCTAGCTGTTGCTTATACACCTATTTATAATATGCTTGAATCTATTAATTTTATTTCAAGAGCAAATTCATTATTTGCAGCCACGTGGTCTAAACCCAATCCTTTCGCCGGCAACATCGTACACTACCTCCAGTGTTTTCTGTTGTGTATTACCAATAATAGTTACTTTGCGTTCATCTTCATTCGCAGCAAAAGCCAGACACACCTGTTCTTTGCTCGCTACAAACACAGACCCACTTACATCCAACTTCACGATCACCCCACCTCCGAACGAAAAAGATATCGTCGGAATGCGAACGACTTCAACCCCTGTCAGATTGTAGCACGTATCCAGTAACCCGAGCGGATCCGCTTTCGGGTACCTCGACATCTGTCTCCGGAACTCATTTCTCAGGGGACCGTACGCTGCCGGAGGGAGCCGGGTGATGACGGTGCCGGAGTCGATGATCGTGCCGGATGAGAACACGGACGCCGAGATTGAGAGATTGAGGCGGGCCACGGATATTCCGATGAAGTCAAGGCCGTAGAAGGAGGAGCCCTTGGAGATGGAGGACAAAGGAGTGAATTTGACGTTGCGGGAGGAGGACCTGCCGCCGAAGGCGATGTAGCCGACGATGCTGGGCGTAGAGGGGAGGCAATAGGAGAAAATTTTCTGGTACTTTTCTGCGGTTTGTTCTACGAAAGAGAGGGAATTCCGGCCAAGGCCGAGCAGTCCAGCGACGCCGCGGAAGAGACCTTGGTTTTTCTGGCCGCAGCCGAAGAGGAAGTCGTTGACGACATCGGTGGAAGATAAGGTCAGTCTTTCCTTGGCGAAGTAGCCAGTGGAGAAGGATCCGTCGCCATATCGTATAGTATATATGCAAGCTCTCGTTGAAGCAGAACATGCCGGCCTAACTCCTGGAGACATGCATAAGAGAGTAGATATATGTATGAAATGAATGAGAGACAAATTAAGATGCGATGATGATAATAATTAGCTTGCCAGTATACCTGTTGCAGAGACTAGCTGGGAACACTGAGAAGAAGAGCAAGAGACATTGGAGTAAGAAGAAGATTGAGAAGGATCGAAGATGGGTTCCTTCTGGGCATAGCAAGAGCCAGCACAGGGCTTACACTGAGTCCAAGTGATGTCACTGCCTGTGTCGAAGACGAGAGACAGATCTCTTATGCCAACTGAGGTCATTGCCTGTGTCGCAGCAAAGGGGCTTCCCAGCCCCACCTTGACGAAGTAGTTTCCGGTGCCAAGAGGGATGCCGGACTTGGCCGGCAGCTGAACCCGGTCCGGCCCCTTATTGTTTGAACCGGTCTCTGCTTCTTCTTGGTGGATCTGTAATGTCTTTGAAAGCTTGGACTGGATTGCCCTCACCCTGGCTTCGTCCTGCTTGAAGATCTCGCTGTGTGGTACCATGAATGAAGAAGAAGAAGACGACGACGACGACGACAAGGGTTTCTTCACCTTTGAGCATGGCCCGTGCTTGTGTACCACGTCCATGGATCCATTCCTCTTTGAATCTGTCCATGGTATATGATAACTTGAAGAACTCTTTTTTCCCGAAATTATTTTCGATCTTCAATTTTTGAAGTTTAATTTCAGTTTTTATTTTCTAATATTATTACGTCATCGAAAGTCAAACTCTGAATATACTTAACTTGTTTCTAATTATATGCTAACGATAATTTGTTCATATCAGTTGGATTAATTAATCATCTTAATTAATGACCAGAAAGTATTGTTTGTGGGTTCTAGAGAAAAAGAATACACACACACGTTGGTTGGACTATTTTTTTTTTTTTAAAGAAAATATAAGTTAAACCATTTCATAACAATAAATAACTGTTCTGTGTATGGCCAAAAAAATTGTGAAGTGAAGACTCTGAGACCAAATCAGTTAGCACTTTACTGCGACATTATAAATTGTGAAACCTGATGCAGAGTATTGTGACTATTAAAATCAAACACCAAGCATGTAGTTAAATTATAAAATGCTAAAATGATATCAATTAGTTAAAAATTCATATGATGATCACAGAGAGAAATGGAAGATAGAAAGAACCTTGAGGAGGAAAGGTGCAAGAGGAGGAAGGGATGAGAGAGCTGAGAGGAACGCGATGATGAGTACGTTGAAGCTCAGTGTCTTCTTCTCTTGTTGCCGAAACCAAGCTTTTGTTCTTAGAAATGGAGGACGAGAAGACGAAGAAGAAGAAGAAGTAAACCAGAGAGAGAGTAGAAAAGAGCACAGGATTAGAAGAAGAAGAAGAAGAAGCCATAGAAATAAAGAAACTAAAGGATGGTTAATTTCTTTTTCTGTGACTCAGGAGGCCACACAGAATACAATCTCAGTCGGGATAGTAGGCTTTTATAGGACCAATTTCGTGGCTGGTCTTATATTAAATTAACTGAGTCTCATGTGGATTGCATAAATTAAGTTTATAAATTATAGTGTTTGAAAAGACTTATATTGAGTGTTGACTGTATTCTAATTAAAATAGCAATAGTAACCATCGATTATATATATACTAATACGAGTTTATGAGATTTTATTTTTTTATTAGCTCCAAATTCTTTCCAATATATAATTAACAATGTCAATAAAGTCACTATGTATAATGAAACGGAAAAATAAAAGAACAGAAATAGAAGTCACATAATAGAGCACAATGAACTCTCTGTAACTTCCCCTTAATTCCTGTAACTTTTCTTTTATTTTATATGCTTCAGTTTCACGATCCTAAAACTATAAATAGAACCCTTGTTAGCTGTGTAAGGCACCTCAATTTTAAAAGAATAAAACTTATTTGTTTTCATTCGGTTTCTGTGCCATATAATCATCATCTTTTCATTTGTTGAAACACAATCAGCCCCAACTCTTTACAGGGGTTGCAATGTTTTTTCATATAGCCATCTAACTAGGTTATATTTAAGTATTGTCTGCAAGTTTAATTGGAAGTAGATCTTTTAAAGATGCTTTATATGCTCACATAAATTCAAACTCAAGACTAGACCATTTCTAACCATCTTGACTAACGCCCGTAAGTTTGCAATACTTTTTAACTTGTTTGGTTTCTATTTTCAAAAATCATTTTCTGTTTTCAAAATAAAAAAATAAAAAAAATCATATGGATAGGTGTTTTGAATTTAATTATTTTCAAAATTGTTCTTATTTTTTGTTTTTATAAACAAAATAATGGAAATATCTTAAAGTTATTTTCATTTTATTTTTCTTGTTTTTAAAACATACTATATTTGATTATTAAAAAATATAATTAGTTTGATTAATTTCTTTCATAAATCACCATCATTATCTACCTACAATCATTACTATTAATTTATTTTTTAATTCTAAAATTTTTTTTAGATTAATATTACTAACCATATTTTCATTTTGTTTTATTTTAAAAAATAATTCTAAAAATTGTATTATGAAATAGCTTTTTTTAAAAAAAAGAGAACGTAAATCAAATAGGTCCTTTATTTCTTGGAGTTCTTGTTTACATTGATCACAAGATTAATGTGTTTAATACTTAAGTTAGAAATGATGTGTTTGAACATGATAGTTATATGTAGTGGCAGATCCAAGACCAGAGTCAGGAAGTACAGGATAATTTAATAAAAAATTAATAATTTTTAAAATAATAATTATGCTAGGACTAAAATATTAATACTATAAATAAATTGATCACCATTTTTATTTTTTTAAAATTATATTGAACAGGTTGACATAATTTTTTCTGTAAATATGATCTTTATATATTATCTAAATAATTAAAATATTATATATCTGATAAGTTTTTGAACCCAAATATTTTTTATTTAATCCAAAGGTTGCAAAATATTAAGAGCAAGAGGTGCAAAATTATAAAATTTATATATTCTAGTTATATTTTTTCTCAAAGTGCATTTAGACACCCTCAATGTAATGTGGTTCCGCCAATGGCCATATATATATAATCTTCACTTTATAGCTACGCAGAACTCATTCAAGTTGTCATTGATACTTAGCTTGTTTTTCTTGAATATATATGAAGTCTAAATTTAAATTTTGTAAATAAAAAAACTCATTGCTATTGCTATGAGAGTTATTATAGTTATGTAATCTGACCTAGCTAGAATGGTAAAGATTAATGGGGTCCAAATTATAGTGCTCCACTTGGGAGCCTTCCTATATGTTCACAAGTATAATGGGAAGTTAGCATGACCAATATGAATTTGACGAGTAATTTAAGTCTATTAATACTTTAAAATGAATTCAATATATTTTCTTTTAAAAATTTAAAACAATCCTCATAATTAAAAAAAATTCTTCGCATACGTTTTCTCCTCCTAAATTTTGAGACTCTGTAATTTTTGAATATTATATAACAAGATCTCTTATAATTATTTGGTGTATTAAATGTTTAATATCATGTAACGTGAGACACGCATTAAGTGGATTATGCCTCTTATTGGATCTAAATTCCATGAGTATATGTTTGTCCCACTATCTAAATTTCCTACATATGATGGCCCACGCACGTGAGCCTTCCTATGATTTTGCGAGTAATTTGGAAAAACCAAAACAACTTGTCCCACTATCTTAATTAACTTCCCATCTTTAATCATCAATTTCAGCTAATGGATGGGTTTGTTCTTATTCCCTTCGTGCTTCACATTTTCTTTTCCCTTCTACTAGTAATGAATTTTCAGATATATACTCCAATTAACTTTTTATCATAAAATGTTAAAATATAGTGCAATGGGTTTGGATCGATCTAGCTGCGTAAATAAAATTACGAAAAGCAAAAATCTCACATTAAATATATTGGATTAAAAAACAAGTATACAAATAAAATGATCCTAATTAAATTTAATTTTCTAAGATTTTCAATTCAAATCAAAATATTGAAAATTTTACTAGTCATTGAACAAATCAAGGAATTAGTTCAAATGTTAATAGTTTAAATTATAATCAAATTATGATTTATTTTATTGAACCCGTCAATACACATATTTTTTTCCGGTTCAACCTCCAAATTAATCCTAATAAGATAGGAAATATTATAATACCTAAAACTTGAGACTACTAATTAAACTAATATAACCTCTTATCAGTTGAGCTATTTGAGATTTATATTACGTTTCTTTTGGTACAATATATACTATATTTCTTTTATCTCGACGCAATTACTAAAAGCTGTGCAAGTTTAACATGATAAGGCCAACTCTACAACTGAATTGTAAGTTGTAACTTGTAACCACCCTGTAACTAAATCCCAACGGACATATAACAGTCTAGTCTAATAAGAGAGATATAGGGCCTGTTCGGAAACCTGTTTTAGGAACAGTTTTCTGTTATTCAAAACAAAGAAATAAAAAAATTCGTTTAGCAACGTGTTTTTAAAAAGTATTTTAGAGAATAAAAAAATAAAATATTATTCTGAAGAACAAAAAAATAAAAACAACTTTTAAGCATTCTGTGATTATTGTTCTGAAAAATAAGAGAGAATGAGAAAAAACTTATTTTTATTATTTTTTTTGTTCTCAAAACATGTTCTACAAAACACCAGTTTCAGAACAATAAAATAAAAATAATTTCAAATGGTCATATATAGTTTTATTAAAAAAACAAGCAGAGTGATTAAAAAAAATGGTGGAATCCAACGTCATTCCATGAAAGGTCTTACTTTATTCATGAGAGTCTTAAAATGTAGAATCATTTTACATTTGTTTCACATAATATAAATATGGATAAATTGGTTCATTGGTCTAAAAAAATCTTATCCCAAAAAATATGAACCAAATTTTTAAAAATTTGGGAATATGGTCATTTCACGTTAATATAGAAGAGATTTATTATTGACATGCAAAGAATTTATTATTAAAATTTAAAAATTTATGAGGAATTTATCATTCATTGAAGAATATAATAAAATGGTCATAATGCAAAATGTTGGACTGTTTGCTTGGTTTAATAATATGAGTTATATCTACAAAAGTTTATATAAACATATAAGTATGTATGTATATGGCAACAATCATTTTTTTTTTTTGTACGCATATGTTTAGTAGCATATAAACCGAATTACAAACAGACATTATATATAATACGTTTAAACTCTTTTTGCTCCCCTTAAAGACTCCCCCCCAACCAAACTAAACTTTAATGTGAAACAATTTTAAGAAGACCTGCTTGTAAAAAAATCAATAGATCAAATTGAGTATAAATAGACATATGAGCATATCCTTATTCATTGTGCTTACATCTCTATTTACAATTTAGGTTAATCTATCAATTTTCTTAGATAAAAATATCTATTAAGTATTCTTTTAATAGAGCAATTATTACATGCAGCCACCAACATCATACACTACCTCCAAAGTTTTCTGCCGCACATTTCCAAAAATAGCCACACTTCTTGCATCTTGATTCGGAGCGAAGGCCAAACGCACTAGCGTTTCACTCACAACATATAGAATCCCTCCTGCGTCTAACTCCACATATACCCCACCTTCAAACGACAACGTTAACTTTGGAACGAGAAAAGTCTTATACGTGCTTAGACTATAACATGTGTCCAGTATTAACCGGCTGCGTCACCGAGTACCTCCTCGCCGACATGACTCTCCTAAATGCATCTCTCAGGTGACTGTACGCCGCCCAAGGGATCCGTGAGATGACGATGCCAGAGTCTATGAGCGTGTCACCGAAGGCGGAGATCGAGACTCTGATGCCATCGATGGTGATTCCAACGAGGTCGACGCCGTAAAGGGTGGGGTGCTTGGAGATGGAATGTTACGGAATGTATTTGATGTTGCTGTAAGAAGATGCCCCGCCCAAGTTGAGGTGGCCGACAGCACCGGGAGTGGACGGGAGGCAATAGCAAAAAAATTTTCGGTACTTGTGGGCGGTTTGTTGGACGATGGACTCCGGGCCGCAGCTGAGGCCGAGCAGTGCGGCAGTGCCCTCAAAGCGACCTTAGTTTTTATGGCCACAGTCGATGAGGAAGTCTTGAAATTCGTCATTGGGAGACAAGGCTAGGTTTCCTTGCCAAAGGAGCCAGTGATGGAAGATTCGCTGGCGTATTCAATATGGCATAAGCAAGCTCCCATCCGTGCATAACATGCGGAGGAGAGCTGAGAACACAGGGAAGAATTGCAGGGAACATGAGAGAAGGAAGGTGATAGTTTAGGATTGAAGATGGGATCCTTCTAGCTGAAGGACTACAGGGCTGACACTGAGTCCATGTAAATGTCACTGCCTATGTCTAATTCCAAGCAGCTCTATCTTGCAAAGTGTTAGTTTGTCTTGGACATAAGACGATATGGAGAGTCTCACATCAAATAAAGTTAGGCTGAATAACTAATATATAATAAAAAGAAAAGATTATAACTTGAGTCTTGAAATTTTAAGTTAAAATATAGTATCCTTTATCTGCTCTTACCCGTCTCTCCTCTCCTCCCTTCACAGGCAGTGGCTCCTCATTCCTACCACTATACCATAACATAGTATTTTTTCTTTGAAATCTCTAATTCTTGGCGACGATTCTTTGTTTGGGAATGCATGGCATTGATTGCCCTCACCCTCGCTTCGTCCTACTTCAAGATCTCGCTATGTGGTGTGATGAATGGAGAAGATGTTGAAGGTTTCTTCAGCTTTGAACATGACCCATGGTTATGTACCACTTTCATGGTTCCACCTGTTCATTCATCGTCCGTGTCACTTGAAACAATATGCATGTAGTTCTATCCCGATGAAATCGTGAAAAAGATCAACATGCATGCATGAGATTTAATATTTAAAATGACTATTGTGGAGAAATCGTTAAGACTCGTGACGATGAAGGAATACTAGCGCACTATATATAAATATACACATACCAAAAATCGTTTTTTTTTATACATGCAAGTCATTTTAACACAGTATGCAAAATTGTGAAGCTAGACTCATTGCTGAATAATAATGATAATGATAATGATAATGATATTATTATTATTATTATTATTAATCAATCATAATAAATAAAAAGATGACAATTAATTTAGAATTCAAAATTGTTGAGGAAACAAACCCTGAGGAGAGCTGAAATTTGAGGAAGAAGGAAAGAGAGAGCTGAGAGGGACGCGACCATGATAATGGTGAGACTCGTAGTCAGAAGCTTCTTCTCTGATTGCTATAACAAAGCTTCTATTCTAATCAGGAAAGAAGAGCAAGCTCAAGAAACAAGCCAAGAGGAAGTTGGGATTAGAAAAAGAAGAAGCCATAAGGAGAGAATGATTCAAGAGGCCACGATACAGATCGTACACTCCAAGTCCGGATGTGGTTGGCTTTTAATTTAGAGTTAAAGGTCAATTTTGTCATTGAAGTATACACAAAATATCACAAATGTCCCTAAACTCAATTAGGGATTATTTTTGTCCCTTAACGGTGCTCCATTCAGTTCGCATGGAACATCAATTTTCTGCTGGTTGATGAGAAGGTATTAATCTATTCTATTTGTAAAATCTAATATACAGGTTATGTCTAATGTTTCATCTCATTATACACTGCTCAAGTTTTTATCCTCATTATCTTCAACCTTTCATCCAGGGTGTTCAAATACAAGCCTCCCTCCAGGCAAAGAATCTCGTCACAGTTTATTGAAGATGAACCTTTCGAGGGAGTTGTCTCTGCTTATCATGCCATAGAAATCTCACGGACAGGTACAATTCGGTATTAATAACTGTTCATGCCGAAGAAATTAATTTCAGTCCATTAAACTAATCCTTTGTATTATCTTTTGTTGCCATGAAGTCCCACCTTCAGCTGAAGAAATTAACAAGGTAGAAGCATTGATCAATAAAATAGCATAGCTTTCTGTCATTATCATACATAAAACTTCATTAAAATCCCTACTGCACGATTCAACAATAATGCACCTTCAGGACAGGAAATCTGTCAAATACAAGCATGTGCTGTTTCATGGAGATACCAACAGAATAAAATTTCCTTTAACAAAAACTGGCTTATTAATCTTAACTTAAGTTTTTATACTCAAGAAAAAATCAGTGAACATTTGCACTTTGGTCGTTGATTACGTATGGGAACTTAAATTTTTTCATTTCCAGTAATTAGATGCAAGAACATGGAACAGTTTACAACAATTATCCTAGAGTCCTAAATATAATAATGTACAATTTGTCCCACTAATGAAATTTCCCATTTCCATCCAATCCATATATATTGGATGCTCCACTCAAGAGCTTCCTATATGTGCATTTACCAGAACAGTGGAAAAAACCAAGTCAATTTGAACCACTTTCTAAACTTGCTATCTTATAATCATATCAATTCCCATGGATCATATGGGTTTGTTCACAATAGGAAATTGTGCAAAGTTGAGTACAAGAATAAGGTGCAGTGAGGGCCAAAATACTATTACAAAAAACACATCTTATTAAAGTACCTGACAAAGGCCTCTTAATGGTACTATTAAGAAGATTAATTTGAGACTTTATTATAAATCACTGGGTGGTCAGTTTCAGCCATTCAAGTTTTAGACAAGAGAAAACAAAAATGCATTGGGCTGGCTTGCCCACAACTCAGTGCTAATTTTGACAAGTCACCTTTTAATGTGTTGGAATATTTGCTCACTGACATGATTTTGTCTTGGACTCTTGGTTTTCTTGCATGCTTTACCGTAGTCTTGTGTGTTTTTTTTCTTAAAAAAAAAGGCATGGCATGACGAAACCTAATTGGACTCCAACTTAGCCCATGTTGCACGGACCCACTTGAAGCAAACATGTCTCTGTGTCCATCTTTACATGATTAATGGCCCAAGCTTAAAGGCCTTAAATAATTATGATCGAGTTTGAGCCTTTGAGGACAAGTCAAGGCCACACACCTAACACGACGTTATTCGGTGCACAAAAACCCTTGAGACGTGTCTATTTCTTTATTTATAAAATAACCTAGAAAACTTTTAGGACCTCTTTATCCATATTTCCACATATAACATCCTTATTATTAACTTCCTTTTTATCTTCCCATACAGATTTTCCCCGACCACACTAAAATAGACCAAATTGACTATAAATAGACATACAAGCATATATCCTTGCCGTTGCTTATATATCTATTCATAATCTGCTTGAATCTATTAATTTTATTTCAAGATCAAATTCATTATTTACAGCCACGGGGTCTAAACCCAATCCTTTCGCCAGCAGCATCGTACACTACCTCCAGTGTTTTCTGCTGTGTATTGCCAATAATAGTTATGTCACCTTTATCTTCATTCGCAGCAAAACCCAGACACACCTGTTCTTCGCTCGCTATAAACACAGACCCTGTCACGTCCAACTTCACGATCACCCCACCTCCGAACGACAACGATATCGTCGGAATGTAGACAACTTTCAACCCTCTCAGATTGTAGCACGTATCCAGTAACCCGAGCGGATCCGCTTTCGGGTACCTCGACATCTGTCTCCGGAACTCGTCTCTCAGGGGACCGTACGCTGCCGTAGGGAGCCTGGTGATGACGGTGCCGGAGTCGATGATCGTGCCGGAGGAGAACACGGAAGCCGAGATTTGGAGATCGACGCGGGCCACGGATATTCCGATGAAGTCAAGGCCGTACAAGGAGGAGCCCTTGGAGATGGAGGACAGCGGAGTGAATTTGACGTTGCGGGAGGAGAATCTGGCGCCGAAGGCGATGTAACCGACGGTGCTTGGCGTAGAGGGGAGGCAGTAGGAGAAAATTTTCCCGTACTTTTCGGCGGTTTGTCCTACGAAAGAGAGGGAATTCCGACCGAGGCCGAGCAATCCTGCGACGCCGCGGAAGAGACCTTGGTTGTTCTGGCCGCAGCCGAAGAGAAAGTCGTCAACGACATTGGTGGAAGATAAGGTCAGTTTTTCCTTGGCGAAGTAGCCAGTGGAGAAGGATCTGTCGCCGTATTGAACACCATATATGCAAGCTCTCGTTGAAGCAGAACATGCCGGCCTAACTCCTGGAGACATGCATAAGAGAGTAGGTATATGTATGAACGGAATAAGAGAGAAATGAAGATGTGATGATGATGATAATAAGTATACCTGTTGCAGAGACTAGCTGGGAACACTGAGAAGAAGAGCAAGAGACATTGGAGTAAGAAGAAGATTGAGAAGGATCGAAGATGGGTTCCTTCTGGGCATAGCAAGAGCCAGCACAGGGCTTACATTGAGTCCAAGTGATGTCACTGCCTGTGTCGAAGACGATAGACAGATCTCTCTTGGGGGTACCCAGCCCCACCGTGACGAAGTAGTTTCCGGTACCGAGAGGGATGCCAGACTTGGCCGGCAGCTGCACCCGGTCCAGCCCCTTATTGTTTGAACCGGTCTCTTCTTGGTGGATCTGTAATGTCTTTGAAAGCTTGGATTGGATTGCCCTCACTCTGGCTTCGTCCTGCTTCAAGATCTCACTGTGTGGTATGATGAATGAAGAAGATGATGATGATGAAGGTTTCTTCAGCTTTGAACATGGTCCATGCTTGTGTACCACTTCCATGTGTCCATTCCTCTTTGAACCTGTTCCTGGTGTATGATAACTTGAAAAACTCTATTATTTCCCCCCCCCCCCGAAATTATTCTCAATCTTCAATTTTTTTGAAGTTTAATTTCAGTTTTTATTTTTTAATATTATTACGTCATTGAAAGTCAATCTCTGACTATACTTATCTCGTTTCTAATGATATGCCACTGATACCTTGTTCGTATCAGTTTGATTAATTTATTATCTTAATGAATGACCAGAAAGTACTGTTTGTGAGTTCTAGAAAGAAAGAACACACACACGTTGGTTGGACTATTTTTTTTTTTAAGAAAATATAAGTTAAACCATTTCATAACAATAAATAACAATTCTGTGTATGGCCAAAAAAAATTGTGAAGTGAAGACTCTGAGACCCAGATCAGTTAGCACTTCGCCGCGAGATTATAAATTGTGAGAACTCATGCAGAGTGTCGTAACTATTAAAATCAAACACCAAGCATGTAATTAAATTATAAAATTCTAAAATGATATCAATTAGTTAAAAATTCATATGATGATCACAGAGAGATATGGAAGATAGAAACAACCTTGAGGAGGAAAGGTGCAAGAGGAAGAAGGGATGAGAGAGCTGAGAGGAACGCGATGATGAGTACGTTGAAGCTCAGTGTCTTCTTCTCGTGTTGCCGAAACCAAGCTTTTGTTCTTAGAAATGGAGGACGAGAAGACGAAGAAGAAGAAGAAGTAAACCAGAGAAAGAGAAGAAAAGAGCACAGGATTAGAAGAAGAAGAAAAAGAAGAAGAAGAAGCCATAGAAAGAAAGAAACTAAAAGATGGTTAGTTTCTTTTTCTGTGATTCAGGAGGCCACACCACACAGGATACAATCTCAGTCGGGATTGCAGGCTTTTATAGGACAAATTTCGCGGCTGGTCTTAATAATATTAATATCAAATTAGTTGAGTCTCATGTGGATTGCATAAATTAAGTTTAAAATTGTAGTGTTCAATCGTATATCTTAATATAAATTTTAAATTTTTATTGATGTTGATGTATTAGATATTTGTGCATATATAGAGGGGTGTTTGAAAATAAAGACTTACATCGAGTGTTGATTGTATTTTAATTAAATTATCAATAGTAATTAACCATCGATTATATATCCTAATACGAGTTTATGAGATTTAATTTATTTTAGTAACTCCAAATTCTTTCAAATCTATGATATAATTAACAATGTCAATAAAGCCACTATATATAATGATCATCTTTCCACTTATCGAAACACACTCAGCTCTAACTCTTTTTTTTTTTTGGTCTGCAATATTTTTTTATATGCATAACTATATGACTGGACCATATTTAGATATTGCTTGTTAGATTTCTCATATCAAGTATAATAAAAGACAATACTCTACTAAAATAGTTTAAATCATTTGGTTAGATACTTCTTAAATTAATAATATTAGAAGGCAAAAGAAGTTTAATCTTTATTTTTTTTTTTTGTGGAAAAGTTAGGATTGAGGTCTTTAAACATAATATTTATATATAATCTTCATTTTATAGCTCCTCAGATTAAATCTTATCTATAGGATAGTTTTTAATACGTAATGACTCATTCAAGTAGTTATTGATACTTAGCTTGTTTTTCTTGAACATATATAAAGTCTAAATTTAAATTTTGTAAATAAAAAACTTATTGCTAATGCTACGAGGGTATTTATAGTCATGAAATCTGACCTAGCTAGCATAGTCCAGATTATAGTGCTCCACTTGGGAGCCTTCCTACATGTTCACAAGTATAATGGGAAATTGTAACATGATGAATAATTCACTGAGTGATTTAAGTCTATTAATACTTGAAAATTAATTAGAAGCATTCCTCACCTATATCTTCTCCTCCTACACTTGAGACTTTATAATTTTTGAGTATTATATGATAAGATCATTTATAGTTTTGATATATCTAACGTTTATTATCATGTAATATTTTTTCTATTTTAAATTATAAGATATTTTTAAATAAAATTTTATATACCAATAAAACTCATTAAATACACTTTATAATCTTATTTTTTTAAGATAAAAATATAAATTTTTAAAAATACCTTTTATTTAATACCCATTGATGAAAAAATATTGAAGAAAAAGAATATATGAGAAAAATAATATCAAAAAAGTATCATTAATAAAATTTTATTTTTATCAAAGTGTTTTATATTTTAAAATATTATATTTTTAAAAAATATTTTATAATTTAAGATAAAAGAGTATAAGATACTTAAGAGTGTTGAATATGACACTTATTAGTGGATCTAAATTCCACGAGTACCTGTTTCTCCCACTATCTAAATTTTCTATATATAATGGCCCACGCACGTGAGTCTTCCTATGATTTTGCGAGTAATTTGGAAAAACCAAAACAACTTGTCCCACTATCTTAATTAACTTCCTCTTTTTAATCATCAATTTCAGCTAATGGATGGGTTAGTTCCTATTCCTTCGTGCTTCACATTTTCTTTTCCCTTTTACCGGTAATGAATTTTCAGATATACTCTAATTAACCTTTTTATCACGAAATTTAAAAATGCAGTACTTTGGGTTTAGATGGATCAAGCTGTATAAGATTTTCAATTCAAATTAAGATACTGAAAATTATACTAGTTATTGAACCAATCAAGATATCAATTCAAATGTTCATAGTTTAAATTATAGTCAAGATCAAATTAATCATACAAGAATTTCATTTTTGAGTTCAACTGCTAGATTAATCATAATAAAATTGGGAAAGTTATAATATCTTTTGCAGTGCCTTTTCCTTGTCAATTTTATTTTTCTCTTTAATTATTAGTTTTTATATAAAATAGGAAACATTCCCGTATCCTAAAGTTTTGAAACCATCGAGTTTTGTATTATTTTTTTTACCATTCTTTAAAGAAAATAGCATAATAAAAAAATTATAAAACTTTTAGAAACTATATAGTACGTTTTTTTTTTAACTTTTAGAAGATTTAAACTATATAGTTGTTTATGTTTTATTGCTTAGGTAGTGTTTGTACTGGTTTTTCGTTTTCTGAACTCTTTCAAGTAATTGTAATTCCGTTTGCTCTGCCTATGAAATATTTTGCTGGTTAAAAAAAAAAAAACCTTTATCTTCGGCAAAGCACACAAACTTTTTAATACCCTTTAAAACCTATTTTTTAAATAGTGAACTAATTTTTTTAATAAATAAAAAAATTAATTAAATAGAATCCACGCTTTTCATCCACTATGAAGTAACTTTTTTAGGATTTAAATTGTGAAGTAATTTTTTATTGTAGAAAAAACACAAGACTTTTTTATGCACTTCACTTTCTCCAACTATTAGATAAAAGGAATGGTCAGATCCTCTCGCTTTTCACTCACTGCACAAAATCCATTGTATGTGATCCCGACCCTTCTTTTATCACGAGTCAAATAAAGTTTTGCAAGTGTTCCATGATAAGGCTAGCTCTATTGGGCCTAACAACTTGTAATTTGGAACTACTCCCTAACTGCGTAACCAAAGCCCAAAGGACATATAGAGTGATAAAAAAAAACAAATGGGGGAATCAATCCAACGTCATTCGATGAAATGTCTTACTTTATTCATTAGAATTTTAAAATGTAGAATCATTTTACATTTGTTTCACATAATATAGACATATAAGTATGTATATGGCAACAATCAGTTTTTTTCTTGGTAAACTTATGCTTAGTAGCATGTAACCAGAATTACAAACAGACACTGTATATAATACATTTAAACTCTTTTTTGCTCCCCTTAAGGATTTTTTTTTCCCTCTAACCAAGCTAAACTTTAATGTGAAACAATTTTAAGAAGAGCTGCTTGTTAAAAAAATCAATAGATCAAATTGAGTATAAATAGACACATAAGCATATCCTTACTCATTATGCTTACATCTCTATTTACAATTTAGATTAATCTATCGATTTTTTTAGATAATAATATATACTAAATTATTATTTTTTTAATAGAGCAATTATTAGATGCAACCGCCAGGTCTAAACCCAACCTTACGACCACCAACATCATACACTACCTCCAAAGTTTTCTGCTGCACATTTCCAAAAATAGCCACACTTCTTGCATCTTGATTCGGAGCAAACGCCAAACACACCTGCGTTTCACTCACTACGTATAGAATCCCTCTTGCGTCTAAGTCCACGTCCACCCCACCTCCAAACGACAACATTATTTTCGGAACGAGAAAAGTCTTGTACTTGCTCAGATCGTAACACGTGTCCAGTATCGATGCCGGATCCGCCTTTGGGTACTTCGACATCGCCTTCTGGAACGCGTCTCTTAGGGGACCGTACGCCCCCGGAGGAAGCCTTGTGATGACGGTGCCGGAGTCGATGATCGTGCCGGAGGAGAAAGTGGAAGCGGAGATGGGGAGCCTCGTTCCTCCGAGGGTGATTCCGGTGAAGTCGAGGCCGTAGAAGGAGGAGCCCTGTGAGATGGAAGAGAAAGGGGTGAACTTCACGTTGCCGGAGGGGTATCCGCCGCCTCCAAAGGCGAGGTAGCCGACGGAGCTAGCTCTGGAGGGGATGCAGTAGGAGAAGATCTTGTGGTACTTTTGGGCAGTTTGCTCAACGAAGGAGATGGGGTTTCGGCCAAGGCCGAGGAGCCCGGCGGCTCTGCCAAAGAGACCATCGTTGTTCTGACCACAGCCGAAGAGGAAGTCCTCAACTACGTCGTTCGGAGATATGGTCAGCGTTTCCTTGGCGAAGTAGCCAACAGAGAAGGACGAGTCACCGTATTGAATACCGTAGATGCAAGCTCCACTTGACTTGGAACATCCCGGATCATTTCCTGCACAGATGGTGTTAATCCATAATTCAATATAACGAATAAGATAGAACGAATATACATACATACGCACATATATATGTAAGTGTACCTGTGGCAGAGGAAGCTGGGAACACTGCAAAGAAGAGCAAGAGACGTTGGAGTAAGAAGAAGAGTGAGAAGGATCGAAGATGGCTTCTTTCTGGGAGTAGCAAGAGCGAGCACAGGGCTCGCACTGAGTCCAGGTGAGGTCACTTCCGGTGTCGATATCAGAGAGAGGTCTCTCTTGGGGCTTCCAAGGCTCACCGTGACGAAGTAGTTTCCGGAGCCGAGAAGGGTGCCGGACTTGGCCGGAAGTTTATCCTGGCCCAACCCCTTGGAACTCTCAAGTTCATGGCTGTCATGTGTTTTGGAGAGCTTGGAGTGGATTGATCTCACTCTAGCTACGTCGTACTTGAGGATTTCACTGTGTGGAATTGCGAACGGAGCATTCAGTGACGATGACGACGACGACGACGATGTGTGTTGCTTCAGCTTGGAACACGGCCCATGCTTGTGCATCACTTGCAACGATCCTTTCCTGATCACACCTGTACGTGCGTTGTGTTCCAAAATATTTAGTGCCTTATGGCTTCTATGTAACTATGTGTGGATTATTAACCCAAAAAAAAAAAAACTATTGTGTGGATTCTATTCTGTCCAATAATGGTTCCAGGTGAGGTCACTTCCGGTGTCGAATATCAGAGAGAGGTCTCTCTTGGGGCTTCCAAGGCTCACCGTGACGAAGTAGTTTCCGGAGCCGAGAAGGGTGCCGGACTTGGCCGGAAGTTTATCCTGGCCCAACCCCTTGGAACTCTCAAGTTCATGGCTGTCATGTGTTTTGGAGAGCTTGGAGTGGATTGATCTCACTCTAGCTACGTCGTACTTGAGGATTTCACTGTGTGGAATTGCGAACGGAGCATTCAGTGACGATGACGACGACGACGACGATGTGTGTTGCTTCAGCTTGGAACACGGCCCATGCTTGTGCATCACTTGCAACGATCCTTTCCTGATCACACCTGTACGTGCGTTGTGTTCCAAAATATTTAGTGCCTTATGGCTTCTATGTAACTATGTGTGGATTATTAACCCCAAAAAAAAAAAAACTATTGTGTGGATTCTATTCTGTCCAATAATTGTTAGGTTGAAAACGAAATACAACTAGAGAAGATTTGATTAAATAACAATATTTTGTCAATTTGCTTTACTCTTCATGACTACATGGCAATAATTATCAATGTCGATATACAAAATATAAAATATAATGTTATGAGCTCTCTGCTAGTTTGGTGTAATTGGTTCTTGTTTTGTATGGGCTTAGCCCCGTTTGCTTTAAAAAAATATAACAAATAATATATATATGAAACACAAAATGTAAGAAATGAAACCACGTCCCGTGATTATTATCAATTATGAGCATATGATGATATCATTAATTGAATTGTTCAAATTAAAACTGAAATTATAAAAATTTATCTTAAATTATTGTCATTTTTTAATTTGAAACGATTATTCATTTTAATAGATGACAAATATAAAGTAAAAATAATTTTATAACTCACTTTTTCAAAAAGTATTCATTGCTTATTAACAATTTAAATATGAACTGTCCAAATTAAATTTGGACAAACTAAATCTCTACAGCAATGAGCATGTATGGTAGCACTATGTATAAGGACCCATTTAATATGATGGAATATTATGAGAGAAAACATTAAGAGGCATATTATATTAAAAAGATAAAATATTAAAAGTAATGCACACAGGTTAATCAAATTATACACTTGACCCAACCAGCTGAAGGTGGTGGGGGTTCCGAAATATCAGTTAGGTCCACAAGCAATGCATTAATTTGATTTCTTAAAATTAATAATAAGTCTTTTGTGGTTAATTAATTAGCTAATAATGAGCACTAAATCAAGTGGCTGAAGGTACTTAAGCACCAATTATTCTATTTGCACTTTTAATTTGTTAGGCATATCAAGAGAGAAATTAATTAGTAATTATGTAGTAGCTAACTTTAAGTAATTACAAAAATCTTTTTCTCTCTTGTTGTCTTGTGGCTCTCAATGGTTGATAGCGCACAATGTAGAGTGCAGAAAGCTACCCACCATCGCCTAATTTTTCAAACACTAGCTGTTGTCAACAATTTTCAAAGCTCATTCAATGATTAAAGTAACTTTTCAATAATACATGTTAAATTAATTCTGAAACTGTTAATAATCTAATAATTGAACCCTTTTTTTTTAGTAATTTTTGGCCTCTTAAAACCTTTCTTAAAATTCGAATAACATCGTGTAAGAAAAACATTATTATTAGTTTCTTCTAATTTTCATATTATTAGAACAAATATGAAAATAAAGTGAAAAGGATTGAAAATACTTAATCCATTTTTTTCCCCAAAATCTTTGAATTGCATGCAGGAAAGGGAAATTTCCGGGATACTATGATTAGCCTCTTGAGCCAATTATCTATCATAATTGACCCATCAAATCAGCTTTTAACTTCGTCAACACCATACAAAAAAACAAAAACAAAAGAAAAGAAAAAACAGGCTGGCATATATTATTGAGAAAACTTTCAACTTTCAGTAAGAAATAAATAACTAAAATATAATTAAAGAATACAGGTTTATATTAAAATTAAAGCCAAAACAAATAATAAAGGTAATAATTATTAAAAACCATTTCCTAATAAATAAATTAAATCGGTAAGGCAATTAAATGAATATGTGAATCATAGCTCTTGTTGCTCTATCTGTCTATCCATAGTATGTGGTGGTGGGTACCATACGTGAATATTCTATCTACATAACCCACTATTATATTATACAATTAATATTTGGGAAAAAGGACTTGAATGGACCATTTAGATAATTACAAATATTCTCTGGCCAAAGAATAATAATAACTACACACTAAATCCACGCATATCCAGTACTTTGTGGAAATGAAAAAATTTCATGTCACTTAATCCTCTGTATTTATAAGATGACGAAACGACAGTGCTTTGTTAAAATTAAATAAGAATCATGAGAAAATATATGTATTTTTTTATTAAAAAAGTAAGCTGTATACTGGACCAAGTGGTCCGGATGCCTGGTCTCTTTTCCAGTCCAACCCGAAAAAATAATCTGGTCTTTAGTCCTTCCTGAAGGACCAGTGACTATGAACAAGACTGAGACCATCTTTGGACTCTGACTGGGAGACTTTTGCACAAGTAGACAATGGTCACGGGCTGTCGAAGGTTGTTTATTAATCATTATATATGCTAGGCTGCTAGCCAGCTATTTTAAATAATATATCCCAATTTCAAGATCATTTTATATATTATGTATACAACCAAATTACTATCAAGCTTGATTATTATTTTTATTAAAAAAGCGCGTGAGTGCGCGTGTGGTGTAGATTGTAAATGTCTAATTATAAATCTATAATTCATAAGTCGCCCCCTTCACACAAACTTTTGAAACATTGATTGGTAAACACTCCAGCTTTCGTAACCACAACATAATAAATATTAATTAATAATCAAAATGATTACTTCCGCAACTTATACAAACCTTTCCAGCCACTTTGATATGAAATTAAAACTCAACCATATCAGTAATCATTTTAACTAAAAGATTATAATCTGCGAAATATGAAAACTACTGCATGCAGAGTATTATTATAGAAAGCAAATCAACAACCATGCACGTAATTAAAAAGATGCCATTAATTGAGAGAGAGAGAGAGAGAGAGAGAGAGAGAGAGAGAAGAACCTTGAGGAGGAGAGTTGCAGGAGGAAGAAGGAAGGAGAGAGGAGAGAGAAACACGATGATCATGATGATGATGAAGTTGAAGTTCAGTGGCTCCTTCTCTTATTGCAGAAACGAAGCTTTTGTTCTCAGAGAAGAAGAAGAAGAAGAAAAACCAGAAAAGGAGCGGCAGAGAGGAATAATGGATTAGAAGAAGAAGCCATAGAAGGAATGGGAAAATGATAGACTCTTTTTGTGAATGAGGAGGCCTCAGAGTATACACTCTGTCCCAATGGTTGGCCTTTATAGCCTAAATTTCAAGGCTGGTCATATTAATATTAATATTAAATTAAATTAGGACAGTGCCAAGTAAGTTCCGCGGAATATTAAAAAACATTATGTACCAACTACCACTAGAGAGGAAATTAATTATGCCAACTTAATCAGAAATTTCAAGTTTAAATTTTAGAGATAGAGCAACATTTAATGGTAGAGCTTTAGTCTAAAAGAATCCCAACCTGGCTCGATCAGAGTTAGTCATAACCATTAGTTTCCGAACATTGAATGACTTAATTTGCTACCAAAAAAATATTAAGAAATATGTGCTTTATACAACTTGTAATTAAATAATATGACTAGTATAGTATTAATGTTGGTGTGAGTATTAAAAGTTTTGTCTTTTATTACCTTCGGTGTATCAACCAAATCTATAGTTAAAACTTCAAAGTGAATTTTTGTATATCCTCCTGATATTTAGAAAAATTATATGACTTGCTATGAGTGTTATACTGAATACTGATAATGGTATACATGATTGGTTATTAATTTTATTACAAGTCACCTATTATAAGAGACAAACTGTTCCATTTCATAGAGCTTGGCTTCCCTGTGGACACAGTGTGGTGGCACTATCCAGTCTTCCAATAGAAAACACCCAAATAGACCAATAAGGGCCGAACAATCCTCTTTTTTAAAACATTACAACCTACGATCCCAACACTCTCCAATCATTTTTTTTTATCTGAGGTATTTGAGATCTTTTTATTTGGGCTGTTTTGTCTCCTACATGTTTTGTCCAAAAACTTTGAATTAAAAATTTGAAGGTGTGAAATTTAACGAGTGAACAATAAAAAATTAGAAAATCACTAGTACAAAATATAAAATTTATGGGATACTTTTTACATCGGTTGGAAGGCAACGGTGTAAAAAATAAAGGCGGTGGTATTTTTATAATTATATTGAATTATGTAACACTTTTTACACCGGGTATCCAAGCACCCAGTGTAAAAAGAATGAGAGGAGACTAGGTGTTCCCGAAATAAGAGAGCACTTAGTTTGTGATGGGATTTGCAAAAATTATACAATATGGATTTTGCATGGTGAACGATTGAAAAATTATAGTAACACATCTCAATGTGTGGGAGTTGATAATCTTGATATGAAGTAGAAATGAATGAAGATCGATTAGAGGACATGATCCGTGATGTTGGGGAAGAGGCTTTTGAACGAGCACATGTGTATACCAAGGTTCAAGCGTTTGTTTGCAAATACTAATGATGCAAAGAACTTAATGTGGCATGCAAATGAGAGGATATTTGATGGAAAACTTCGACATCCAGTCGATTCTCCTCAATGGAAGAAAATTGATCAATTGTTTCCCGAATTTGGCAATGAGCCAAGGAACTTGAGGCTTGGACTTTCTACCGATGGAATGAATCCTTATGGTAGTCTTAGTAGTATACATAGTTCATGGCCTGTTCTTTTGGTGATTTACAATCTATCACCTAAGTTGTGCATGAAACGAAAGTACATGATGCTATCCATGTTGATTTCGGGACCAAAACAATCGAGAAATGATATTGATATTTACCTAAGACCTCTGATTGAAGATTTGAAAGTGTTGTGGGAAGTAGGTGTGGAAATGTTTGATGTAAATCAGAAGGAGAATTTTAAATTACGTGCTATGATCTTTTGTACTATAAATGATTTTCCTGCATATGGAAATTTGTCTGGTTATAGCGTGAAAGGTCATAAAGCTTGTCCAATTTGTGAAGAAAGCACAAACTACCATCAACTTCAACATGGAAGAAGACAGTCTACCTTGGCCATCGGAGGTTTCTTAGACGAGATCACCCATATCGTAGATTGAAGAAAGCTTTTCATGGTCACCAAGAACACAATGATGCTCCGGATGCTTTGACTGGGGATCAAGTATATGAACGTGTGAAAAACATTAATATTGTCTTCGGTAAGACTGAAAAGAATATTGGTGCAAAAAGCATATGGAAAAAAAGGTCTATCTTTTTTGACCTCCCATATTGGCGCAATCTTGAAGTAAGGCATTGTATTGATGTTATGCATGTGGAAAAAAAACGTTTGTGATAGTATTATTGGAACGTTTCTGAACATACCAGGTAAGACTAAGGATGGTGTGAATGCAAGATTGGATTTGAAAGAAATGGGAATACGGGAAGACTTACACCCAAGACCAGAGGTAAACGAACTTATTGCCCCCCAGCCTCTCATACATTGTGCAAATCTGAGAAAACAAGTTTTTGTGAGTGTTTACATGGAATCAAAGTTCCTTCGGGGTATTCTTCAAATATTATGAAGCTTGTATCTGTGAAAGAGTTGAAACTGGTAGGCTTAAAATCTCATGATTGCCATGTCTTGATGCAACAACTATTACCTTTGGCTATTCGAGGCATATTAAAAGAAGATTTAAGACTTACAATAACCAGACTTTGTTTCTTTTTCAATGCTATATGCAGTAAAGTTATTGATCCCCGTAAACTGGAAGAGTTAGAACAAGAAGCTTGTACTATCTTGTGCCAACTTGAGATGCACTTTCTTCCTACATTTTTTGACATTATGGTTCACTTAATAGTGCATCTAGTAAGAGAGGTAAAATTGTGTGGCCCTATTTATTTGCGATGGATGTACCCAGTTGAGAGATACATGAAAATACTGAAAGGGTATGTCAGAAATCCATTTCGACCCAAAGCATCAATAGTTGAGAAATATGTTGTTGAAGAAGCTATGGAGTTTTGTTCTGATTACTTGTCAAGTACAGAATCAATTGGACTTCCTAAATCTTGTCATGAGAAAAGGCAATATGGTCAAGGCACACGTGGAGTATCAGTGAAGAGCATGAATCATGATGAATTACAAGAAGCACATTTGTATATCTTGAATAATATTGATGAAGTTAAAGATTACATATCTTCTCATAAAGAACTTTTAAAGGCAAAAAATTATCGAATGAGAATGACAGAACAAAAGTTGTTGAAAGAGCATAATAGGACTTTTGTGAATTGGTTCAAGCAGAAAATTTTGAATGAAAGTGGTGTTTCTGAAACAGTTAAATGGTTGGCTGGAGGTCCTAACTTTGATGTTATATGTTGGAGTGCCTATGATATTAATGGGTATTCCTTTTATACAAAGTCTTTGGATGAAAGAGTACGGTGCAAAATAGTGGAGTTATGATAATGGCTGAAGCCGTACACTTTTCTAGTTCAAAAGATATGAAACCTAAACTAGCATTCAGGACTTACTTTGGGGTTATTGAAGAGATTTGGGAGGTTGATTATACAAAATTTAGAGTTCCTGTTTTCAAATGCAAGTGGGTTGACGTCAATAGTATTCGTGATGATAAGTTTGGATTTACAATGGTTGATCTTAAAAAACTAACTTTTGGAGATGAGCCATTTATTATGGCAGACCAAGCTAAACAAGTTTTCTATGTCACGGATCCAGCAAATAAAAATTGGTCAATAGCACTTAAAGGAAAAAGGATGATTGATAGTAATGACGATCATGAATCAAATTTTGATATTTCTGAAACTCCTAACTTCTCAAGTGGGCTACCAATTTTGGATGTGGTAGATGAAGTAGATGATGAACATGCCATAAGAAGTGATCACCATGAAGGGATATGGGAGAATATCCCTATATGAGTTTAGTTTTGAAATTAAAGTATGTTAATTTAGTTCAATTAAATTTATGTTGTGGGATTGTTTTTCTTAATTATCTTATCTTTGATTATTTTTTTAATTAATTTCATTTATTTGAATTAATAGGAATATGGAGAATCAAGATGATGACACTCAGAGCCAATCAATTGGTGATGTTGCTCCTAGTGGGGAGCTAAGTCAGGGCACCCCTAGTGAGGAGCCGAGTCAGAGCCAGTCTGTGAGGAGGGGGAGACGTGGCACACGATTAAGAGATCTGACATTAAGTAGGAGTGCTGGGCGTAGGTTACCAATTCAATTTGACCGGAGATGGAATCCGATAGGGCCACATAAAGCTAAGTTTGTTAGTTTTCTTGGCCTCCTCTCACGTACCAAGCCTCCTATTGTATTTGAGGACTGGCTTGATGTGCCAGAACGTGTGAAGGAACAGATTTGGGAAAGTATTCAGGTAAGTAATTAAAAATTAAAATTTTTTTATAGTTATATATTATTGGGCAATTATTGATTATTATCTTATGTCTTCATTGTAGCTCACATACGATGTTCCATCTAATCAAGATTGTCGACACAAATTGATTTCTTACTGTGGAACACGTTGGAGAAATTTTAAGACTGATCTTGCTAGAAGATATATCTTTATCGAGGTGCCAGAGGGTCAGGCTCGTCCCAATCCTCTTGATACATACCAGTTCCTTGATGAAGATACTTGGGAAGAATTTGTCAGGATTCGGACTTCTGAAAAGGCTATGGTTTGTTAAATTTTAATTTATTTAAGTTTTATTTAGATTTACTTTAATTATAAAACTAAAATTCAATTTATTAACAGGAAAAACGAGCTAAAGGACGAGAAATTGCTCGGCAGAATCAATGCCCCCACACCTTATCTCGTGGAGGTTATGCTAGAGCTGATGATATACTGATGGCAGAGAAACAGAAGAAGAGAGAAGAAGAAGCCAAGTCTGATCCTTCCATACTCCTTTCTCCACCATCACCTGTCTCTCGAGAGGAGAAATGGAGATATGGACATCAGTACAAGAAAGGAGGCTATACAAGTGAGACAGCACAGGAGATTGCCGAGAGGATTGTAAGTAAAATTATTATTCCTTGTCCCTTTAAATTTCTATACAATTGTATATATTATTAATTAATATTCTTATTTTTATATTATAGGATACTCTTAAGGAGCAACAAGCCTAAGGAAGCTTCATTTCAGAGGGCAGAAATGATATCTTAATAGTTGCTACAGGCAAGCCAGAGCATCCGGGTCGTGTGAGGGGCGTTGGATATG